AACTCATTCTAGCAGTTCAACAAAACGAACACGTCGTTACCTACCTTTATTAAATTAGTCTCTCCCAACCTTAATTACTTTAAATACACATAAAAGCCTTTAATAACTCTCCCACTTAATTGAAACACGTGAAGAACACGTGATCTATACTTGAAAGTTAATAAATCAACGGAAACGGTAACAATATTGAATAATGTTGATATGTCTGAGAACTTTGCTATCTTTGCTATCTTTACAATCTATATTTATGTGAATTATGCAGATTATGCAGATCATACAAATTATGTGAATTATGCAAATTATGCAAATCATACAAATTATGTAAATTATAAAAATTATAAAAATTATAAAATTAATTAATAAATAATAAATAATAAATCACATATAAAATCACATGTACAAGTTACATGTAGAAATCACATGTAAAAATCACATGTTACACATAAAATTTCAAATTCATCCAATAAGAATATAATAAATTAAATAATAAATAATAAATTTAATTATTAAAAATATTAAATATAATAAAAATAATTAATTATCATTAAAATAATTATGTTATAGAATATTTGGACCATAACAATGGACATGACTATAGAGAGGTTTAACTATATTAAGATTTTTATAAATATCAAAGACTTGAAGAATTGTATACAACAAATCTGATTTTGATGATATATAGATAATGAGAAAGAGACAGAGTAATAACAAAAAAGATAAGTTACTATAAAAGTGATTTGTCATGCTTATGTGGGTGTATACATGTGTGAAAGTGTAAATTCCTTCTACTATTTGATAATTATTATTAATCTCCTAGTTAATTAAAAATAAGCATGTTTTTTAATCAATAAAGATGTTACTACTCAGATTTTGAGTTACCAATATCACGTTGAAAAAGCATGTGGTGATAATTAGATGTGACGTGTGTGGCTAAACTGGCTAAACCGGCTAAACGGCTTGTCTTGCTTTAAGAAATTCCTAGCCATGGCAAAAAAAAGTTCAGATCATGTAATATTCTATATCCGGAAAAATTCTATGATAATAGAGATTATTGTCAAAGATTAATTTAAGCTTAGAATTAGGGATAGATCTGGAGTTAAGATTGTATATAAAATTGTCTTCCCGACATGTTTTATTAGTCTATCAAGCTAGATTTAGGTATCTATTTCCCGTATTTTTTACTTTTTCATTTTCTTGTGTCGGATTTGTTTTGCCGGGTTGATCAAAAATTTACGCATTTTTATTAGTTTGTGTCACCAGCAGATCAAAAAATTCACGATCCTTATTGGATACCACGTGATCTGAACACTTTTTTCGCCATGGCTAGAGTACTCTAAATATTGAATTAATAGAATTCGGAGACTCGATTTTATGAAGCGAATTGGCTAATTACATTTACTGTTCTTTTTGTGATAATTTATTGTATATGATTCCGTTTTAGCTTGAATTTCTGAGGTTTGATGAGCAATTTTTTCTTTGCATCCAGATCGTTGAGTTACGATCCCTAATCCGAGTCATCCGGATTAATCTGAATCCCACAGATCAGGGATCAGACCAAGGTTCGTTATGCTTCCAATGATGTCTCGTGACAACACTGGAATCTGGCGATGTTTGATTGGCTGGTGATTGGTGGAAGTCTCAAAAATTGCGAGTTCTCAACTCTGATAGACTGTAATGAAAAAATGACAAATACTTTAACCGAACCAGACCTTTATATTGGTAAGTATCTTGTTTATTATACTCAAATTCGACAATATGATTATTTCTTTCTCATTTTTTTTATTACTTTGTTAGATTATAAAGTCTTTCTTTTTAGTAATTTTGACCCAAAAGTATATGCTAATTCGACTATAAATGAGTCATCGGATGGTGAAAATGATATTACTATATCATTGGCAAAGTTATCCTTTAGCATAGACAATTTAACAAAACAATTACATGATGAGGTATATTGATATTTCTGATCAATTTTTTTGATTTTGATCTTGCAAAATTAAATCAATATATATTGAAATTCTGGCGTGATAGGTAGTCACACATTTCGAGGATTTGCTTTTGCAAGTGGCGGATATTCGCGAATTAGATTATACTCTAAAAGTCGTCAGAAATGGAATTGAAAATCTGAAAAAATCTTTAGAAAGGTTTATATTTTTCGAACAATGATGGTTACTAAGGTGGTTTTATTGCTACTATTTTTGAATTAATGGTTTTGATGATTTTGCAATGATTCTTGAATTTGATGTGGATAGTTTACAAACAAAAGTCCACACTCCATTCACGCAAATAAAGAATTATACTATTCAGCTGGAGCGATTACAAACTGCAATTGAATTACTAAGAAGAGTTTATACGTTCATGGATATTGTAACACGACTTGAAATTCAATTAGCCGAAATAGATAATATTAATTCGGCTACAATGGCTCAGTACGAATTGATTGCGATCATTATTGGTGAATTAGGTATGAGAATGTCCTATTATCATTTTTAATATTATTAATAGTCAGTGTTGAATTGTTCCTTTAATGTGAGATTAGAGGTCTTGTTAAAGGATGCGGATTTTGAAGGCATTGAGATAGTTGAAGATCAATTACCATACATTGATCAGATAAAAGAACGGGTTAGAGATGAAGCAGTTGATATGTTGCATAATGGGATAAAGAACAAAGTAATTTTTACTTTAACGTATTTTTTGAAGGTTTGAATCTAGTTCCGTACTCATTTCCTTGTCTCGCTATCTAAAGGATGAAACGAAAATCGCGTCTAGTCTTCGTATATTACATAGTATATACGAATTGACAGATCGTGTCGCAAAATTCTCTGATGATATATTAGAAAATTTATCGCTTACTATTCATAATGGATTGGATGTTGTTGCTATTCAAAAAGAAGTCAGAGGTTGGTAAATTGGATCCTGTATAATGTTTCACGAATACGTAATATATTAAGCAATCAAATAATCTGCTCGTAGATGCTGGTACTGGGCAGAAGGCAATGCGAAGATTAGGAGTAGATCCTATATCAGGAATGGCGACATTATGGACAGCAGCTATTTGGAAAAGAATGGAAATAATCATGAATGAAATCGGTGATAGCTGTAGTAAGGTTAATTTTAATCTACTAATTTAATTTTTTTTTTTACAAACATCGCTGCCATTTATTTAACAATAAACATGTTGTTATGTTGAAGATTTATATTTTAGAGCGTGTTTTGGCAAATGAAAAAGATATGACGAATCAAATCTCATTTCTTGACGAAGTCTCAAAGGTAAAAAATTGTTTTTTGCAAATTTTTATATAAGTGGTAAGCAAGAATAATTAACTGTTGTTTTCTCGAAAGATTCTCGATAGCGGATTAGTTCAACACTTTTGGAAAATTCTTTCAGTGAATTTCGAAAAAGAATTAAAGGAATCAAGCAGAGGTGTGTTACATGATATGATGAAAGGAATTAACACTTGAGCAGGTTGGTCTTCAAATAATTTGCAGAATAAATGAATTATGACTTAATTCGAACACCCTATAAATAAGGTTCATCCTATATCCAACAAACATTGGTCGGTGGATATCCAAAGCTTCTTTGTCTGTTTCAGGATTTTTTTGCGAGAATCGAGACAAATGGTGTCGAATCTAAAGCTGGAGAATTTCAGAGGTAAACTTTTTGCACTGTTAATTTGCTCTTTTTATTTTCACATGATAATAATATCATTAATTTTCTGAAAAATGATATTTAGTCAAGCATATTTAGTAATGCTACACAGTATATCGAGTTATGAAACTGGATATTCGGCACGCTCAGTGACGCGAATGTATGAACCAATTAATTCAGCATTCACCACTGGTCTTTTACGCTCTTCACCATCAAAAAATGATATTTCGAATATTGTCAAAATTATATCGAGGTATGAATGAATCCATACTATAGAGAATTCTGGTTATGCGAATCGCCCGCTAAATGGTTTCTACATATGCATCGATTTAATATAGTGAATTGGAAAATGCTAAAGTGGATCCACAACTGATGAAAACAATAGCGAAAAATATCATTAAGTCCTTGAATCATGCTTGTGGCAAGGCAGAATCTATGGTTGTCAAGTGTATTCTATTCTGTTTGCAAATTCGCTTTTTGGTCTACGTATTCTTTTTGACAACATATGCTTCATTAGTCTTCAAATGATCCATCAGCTTATCAAGTATCGGGTAATGGCCCAATCACATTCTCGCAAAACTCTAATTTCGAATTGGTCAGTGCAATATATTTTTTGTATCAGTCCTTATGGAAGATGTTAGAAGATTATCCTGATGTCTTTGAGATCATTTCAGAATCTATAGAGGTGATTTTAGTTCCGTAATATTTTTTACATAAATTATTCAGCAATTATTAATCAATCAATCAATCAATTTAATAATTGTTTAGCGTTTAAAAAAAGTTATGTTCAACATTATGACTCCATTAATAGACAATATAAAAAAGGACCTCGAGACAACAATGTTAAAAATCTCTAAAGAAGATTTTTCAAGGTTCAAATTTTTGAGATCAAGGATAAATTAAGCTTCAACTTTTGAATAATTTATATTTGTTCATTTTTCAATAGAAATCAAAAATCGAAACCATTTCTTCATCCGCAGGCTGAAGCTCAATGCAGTCCTTACATGACTGAATTCACTAATCGCTTAAGATATCATCAGAAAGAATTTCTTTCTCGATTTTCCTTTGGACAAGAAGGAAAAGAGTGGTAGTTTGCTAATACTCCAGAATTTATTAATGTCCCTGATTTCAGCTTTCCTACCATTATTCATTCGGTGTTTTGTCTACTCTTTTGTAGGATAAAGGGAATATCCAAGCGGATCTTATATTTTTGGCTTCTTCAGGCTAGCATGATGCGACCATTGAGTGAAGCAGGAAAATTAAAACTTACAGGTGATATTACCCAACTTGAGTTTTCCTTGAATCAATTATTGGCTGAGCATGGGTTAAGTCTCAATGAATTAGGCCAAGAGTATAAAGCTTTACGAGCTTTCAGGTATTATTAATGACTTATGACATGATTATTTATGATGCATACTCTCATCAATTGATTAACTTGTTAAAAAAAAAAAGGCAACTACTCTTTCTTGATACTTCTCAATTGGTTTCCACTCAACACACATCCGCTGTACCACTACTTATCTTGTTGCATCATATCATTGTACGATCTCCCTCTAATACTCTACAACTTCCACATAAGAATTTTGGATGGTCAGAGGCAGAGTATTCGCGTTGGTTGGATGAGCATACAGAAGTTGAATGGATAGATTTAATAAGGGGGACATTGCATACTGATGAATCGAAAAGTAGCGGTACAGAGGAAGAACCTGAAGAGGCGTTAATCAAAATGCTATTAAAGGAACGTACTGGGGTTGAATTTTAGCATGGCGCTAATGTTTTTTACTTAGCACTTGATTAGATATAATTTATTGAATTTTTGAAATTTATGTTATAGTCTTATAATTAGTGAAAAATCTACAATCAATGGATATCTTTTAATAGTTTAAGAGCAATAAAAAATCTTTTTATTATGTACGTAAAACTGAAGATACCGAAATTCCAGTCTTAATGACGTTTGAAATAATCAAAAAGCTCGTAGTTTCGGAATCTTCACCATATCTTTAACAACTACGCAAGAGCAAGTGACCATTTTTCGAGGATCTCCTTCACTATCAATTCTACAAAGACCTCCATTTACCTAATTTCTTTGCATCTGATATTATGTTCAGAGCAAAATGCTTCTACTTTCAGATATTTTTTTGTGTTGGTTTTGATTCATTGAGACAACAGAATTTATGTACAAACTTGATTTTTGAAAATAAAGAATAAAGCTAACAAAATAAATAAATTGGAAAAATGGAATTTAGCCAAATCTAAATCGTCAAAATCACAGGATCTTGCAATAACATAATTATTTTAGTTAATTTTCCGAACTTCAGGCTAGCGCTAGATGTATGATGCATAAATGTGCCATTGTAGAAAACTGCAATAACGAATTATATCATCCATAACAATAATATTGTTGTTTGATATCATTTATGGCTTTCCAGAATTATATTTTTCTGGTAACAATTGTTCACTACCGGTACGTGATAAAACTTTATCGATAAAACTTTATCGATAAAATATATATCGATATTGACAGTATAAAAAAATATCAACGAGGTACATAACGTGCCTTTGATTTAATTCCATTGCATTTGGCAATTTCTTTATGTTTGCGGCTACAAGCAAGGGAACAAGTACGAAATCTGCAACGTGGACATTTGTATTTTGCCGTAGAACGTTGCAACCTTGACACTTTGACAAGGATAATGGAAGTGATAATGCACGTTTCTTTGTTGTAGCACGTTTTGTAGTGCTTCTGCTGGTGAAAGCATTTCTTTCGTTATATTGGCTTTATTTGTCTCAAGTTCCTTAGTCAACTCTTGAACTTATGTTTGATTATCTGGTGAGTTTATATTTGAGAACGAGAAAACTCAATATATTTAACAAAAGATATGTACATGCTATTAAAAGTCTTGCACTCACTTGATTCCTCGAGGATTGTCTCGCAAAAAAATGCATGATCGTCTTAAGGGTGCTGACACATATTAGCTAATATTATTTTGATAGATGTGTCTCCTCCCCCAGGTAAGATCTTTTTTATTGTGGATCTTATACATAATAATCAGTTTGACCGATCATAATTCTTTTTTATTAATATCTTTAAAGCGCATCAACTTTTTGTAGAAATGATATTTTAAAAAACTGACCGGTAACTTTGTTCTTTGTAACGAGCTCTATAAAGTTACTGGTCAGTTTTTTAAAATATCATTTCTACAAAAAGTTGATGCGTTTTAAATATCTCATGTGATTGTTGAGTATAAACTTCCAGCACCATAGTAAAGTTTATTGCTTTGAACTTTGGCTGTAATAACCAATCAGAAGCGTCTGGTCTTATCACATGACCAGAAAAGGATTCAACTTCATTAAAACTTAACCAATTAACAAACGGTTTTCGTAACTTTAACAATTGCATTCATTTTTTGCTAATTATAGATGTCATGCACTGGCCACATTGTTGTACAACATTCATGTGCTTGTGCCCTCTATGACTAAATTTAGTAATACAAATTGTGAATAAATTAATAGTCTCAACCAATGGTTCCATTCTTTTCACAAGCATGTTCTAATTCAACTTTAGACAACACGTTCAACAACGCTTTTCCCGCAGAGTCTAGAAGAAAAGCAACACGCTCTGGTTCCACGCATTCATTATTCTTTTGATCCATAAAAACCATCAATATTGCAGCGACTCGAATGCTGTTTTTATTTGCTTGTGATTTTTCAATAGATAAAGGCGCCGTAGAAATTTTTGCCATGTGATATAACATAAAAGTTTCCATTTCTATTGATTGTGTATCTGGATATTTGGCAAGTATTTGTTCGATAAGGTTATGATTTTCGTCACGAAAATTGTCATCTTGACGCCCTTGTGACGAGTAGAAACTGTCGGAAGATCCATTTAGGCCGGTATGTAATTCAGACTGTAAGAAATATTGTAATAGTTCTTTTTGTAACTAAATAAAATGAAATGAAATTAGATTCTTTATTCTTATTTGTTTTTTAATCGTGCTCGATAATGCTTACCAGTGAACACAATTCAGTATCCGCGTCAAATACTTTAGTAATATTGTAAGATTTGGCGTTTGGTTCTGCGTCATCCGCGAAATAATCATAATTTCTTAATACGGCGAAAGCACCATGTGGTATAATCATCGATCCGACTGTTGCGGGACCAACTGAACCACATGATCCAAGACGAATAATTATTAATGGACCATCGACTACAGTACGAACTTCACGTACAAAGAAGTCCATCATCGCAAATCCCTATATCAGAGAGTTGAGTTGGATTTAAACAATAAGCATGAATTCTAACTTGACCTTGAAAAAGAGAAAAAACTTCAAATGATAAATACCATTCCAATGGAAACAATACTAATAGGTACACCATGATAACAACCTGTTTTAATCGTGAACCCGCGATGTGATTCAATTGTGAGTACTGGTGAATCGACGTCTAATAATTTTGCGAGAATACGAGCACGAGTGGAATCACCAACTGTTATTATTCGATTAGCGACTAAACAAAAAAATTATAGTGTAATCATTTATTTAATTTCATAATTATCGAGAATTTACAAGTAATGATAATAGTTTTCACCTTCACCACGTTTAACACCAACATGATAAACACGTCCGTCAGTGGTTCTCGGAAAATTTGCGTTTGTGAATTTAAATTGCATTTAGATAAATTTATTTATTATTCTCGACTTGTGGGTAACTAAAGATTTTTTTTTAATAAATGGATAAGAGTGTCGAAATACAAAATATTTATTCTTTCGAGCAATTTGACCGAAACCTAGATTATAAATAGTTGAGAACATTCTATTTTTGGTTCATAATCACGTTAATTAATTCCGCCTTATCGGTAGAAATGCTAAATTGATAGGTGGAAATTAATTTCTACATGTACGAGTTTACGCCGTGCGCGTGATAGATGACACAATGGATGAATAATGATATTACTGTGGAAAACCAAATCACAAATTGTGAATTTAAAATTTTATTGTAATTTAGCCAGAATTTGATTATTTGGCCAGAATTTAATTATTTGGCTATAATTTGATTTGATCATAATTTGGCCAAAATATATTTTCCGATTTGGACTTTGGTTTGAGTGTCCATTTAGACAAATGAATTTGACCAGCAGGTATATGTATATTTGACAAAATTGTAATAAAGAATAATTTCCAAATTTATTACAAAACAAATAAATTAATTCACTCTTGTCTATCTATACGTCACCAACTACGTCTCGATCAACTGCTAACAAGACTTTGGTTTTTCCCCAATTAGTATCACTTACCTGCCTGACTCTTTTCTGAATGGTATCAATCTCGACCAATCGACTTCCAGTAATCACATAAATATTATTTCCAATCGCGGTAGCGCATTTAACATCTGACCACGATCGGTTGGCTCCTTCGTGATCATCACTTCCCTCAAAAAATGATGTATATTTGCCGGTATTCGCATCAACTAACCACAATCCATGGCAAAACGCGTATAACACTTGATTTATTCCAACTAATGCCCCGCAGGTAGACCAATTATCCCATCCACCACCCAATTTAATTACTTGTTTCTCGATAGTATCAACAACCCATAGATTATTGGCAGATGTGGTAGCATAGATTTTATGACCAATGCTGGCTGCTGCATTCACTCTCGCCCATAGGTCAGCAAATCCTCCCAAGAAATCAGTACAATGACCGGTATTCACGTCATCGATTAACCACAGTTTATGGCAGAAAGCGAATAAATCATGTGTAACACCACCAGGTTTCGCGACGGTGACCAAAGCATTACACGTGCCCCATCCATCCCAACTTATTTTTCTCGTTATCCCAATATTTTCTTTTAATTCTATTTCCCACAGGTTATTAAACGAGGTTGTCACATAGACTTTTTGTGTGGAGGAAACCAAGGCTCCAGCATTCGTTGCCGTCCAGTCTTCGTTTAGGTATTCTTTATAAGCACCAGAATGAGGACTTATCAGGTAAACGTGTCCAGCGATGGCTAAAAGTTGTTGAGTTGTCATTCTTTTGAACGTAAAAATATAATAATGACCACGCCATGTTCGTAACACCATTCAGATCATTAATTAATTCTTTTGTCAGATAATAGATAACAGCCACCATGTAAATATAATTGTCGATCAAATTTTTTGCCCTGCGTAATTTGTGCTTGAAGGAATGGAAGGAACGGAGACACAAAGCGAAACTCAAGAAGAGTAACCCTTTTTTTATAAATAATAAAAGTTACGATTCTTTTACCACTTCATTAATTTTGTTTTCCTTTTCAAAAAAGATTTCCAGACCTTCCTGAATTAGTACAAGTGCCCAAACCAAATGCTAAAATTAAGAGTAACAATGTTGCGCCAGATAACGAAAAAGATAATGAACCTGAGGCTGAACCTTCGAAATTAGACATTGCCCCCAATTCCTCGGAAGAGAATAACAATGACAATGTTAAAGAAAGTCGTAAAGTAACGGTCGTGGACTGTGAAGAAGTTAAAAATAATGATATCAAGAATAACGTGGAACGAGGAGAAGCGAATGGTTCCACTAACGCGACTTCGCAAAATACTGAAGGCTCTGTGTCTATTCAAGTAAATCCTGTCAAGAAGAAGAAAAAGAAAAAAAAGAAGAAGACGTCTACCGACGCGACTATCGATGGCGATATTGATTTTCATGAAGTTGGTCCACGCGATGAAGATGCAGATCTTATTTATGATCCGTATGTTATTTCCATATTATGTTAGTTCGCTGGTTCTTTCTTTAATTCCTTTCTATTTTTACTTATTAGTTCGAGACTAATCTCCCATCGCATCGAGATTGCTGTTCAAAGATATAAAAAGAATCGTAAGTTTAACCATGTTCGAAATCAAGTGTTTGAAGCCTATATGCGTTTTGGTGGCATCGAGACGGGTCCCAAACCATTTCTTGGACAAGATGGTGTTGTAGATGCTGAAGCTGACGCTGAAGAAATTCTCGCACATCGTGCTACCAATTACGTTGAAGAAGATCGTGTCGAAGAAATGGAAGTTGACTTTACTTATACTGCGACAGTTTATCTCTCAAATTTTCTGATTGACAAATCTGGTTATGTATATATGGATCAGTTTCGCGAGGCACCCGAAGTTGTAATTTCTTTCATTAATTACCTCGTGAATCAACGAGTATGCCCGGAATATAACGATGATATGCAACGTGCCTTGGATATCGCGAAACGAGCAAGAATAGAGCTGCCAAAGTGTAAGCTTTTGGCTCAATCTGCGCCTGGTAGATTCAATAGGGCTTGCTCATTGTTGTTTGGCGGAGAACTATTTGGTTTGTTTGATGACGCTTGGGGTGGTGAAGAAGAAGTCGCCAAAATGCTTGGAATCTCAATGTCTGAGGCCGCATCAATATTTAAAGAAGTGATGGGTCGGGAAAATACAACTGTTAGGCTGAATGAGAATATGAAAAAGGTATCAGAAGAAATGGATATAATCGATATTGACTCTCATCCGATTTCAACCCCATTCGATCCTATTGATAGTAACAATACACGAACATTACAAGAAAATTCTGAAAATAGCCATGCCACTATCAATTCTACATCATCTGCTACTCTCACGGAAAATGGCGATGCCACTACAAATTCAAATGGCGATGCCATTACCAATTCTACATCATCAACTATTCTCACGGAAAATGGCGCAAACTTTGAAAAAGCGCCACCTAATTCATTATTTAGAATGTATATTCGGAAACATGGTAATCCCGAAGATGTACCAATACCAGTTTTGCTTGGCCCGGAACAAGCTAAAAATGTTATGCCAGGCATGCTAGTAACTGCTGATTTTTACCAGCTTGATAATGGGTTTTGGTATTGGGATAGAGTCACGAATGTTTACCCATCATATTTCCTCAAGGACGATTTCGACTCTGATGACGATGAATAACGCACCATTGCTCGTGAAGGGGTAAAGTGAGTTGTGAATTATAATGTAGCGAACAACAAATTTGATCGGGGAATATCATATATAATAGTTGATTTTCGCGATGCAAATTTCAAAAGTAACAAATAATATCTTTAATAAATAAGTTAACGCATAATTTTCGAGTTCAAATGTTAAAATCATTACTTGGCCTTATAAAATATTGCTAACAAACAGCTTGATGTTTATCAAAATACTATTTAAACAAGCAATATTGTATTGCTATTTTTACAATAATAAAAATAAAAATAGAACTATCGCCAAATGAAAATTAAAATATATTACTAAGCTAAAACAAAATAAATAAAAAGTCTAAAGATAACAATTTTCACTTTAAATAATTTAGATAATTACAAAAAAAGTATTTATAAATTTATTACTAGGAATAATTATTTGCTCAAAAGCTCGTGTCAATTTCATCGTATCGGGGTTGACTTAAATCTCCTTGAGCTTTTGCGGCATGTATTGCTTCTTTTCGTGTACTAAGATGCTGCAATGTAGCACGAAAATGTTTTACTACAAATTCCGATATACCGCCTTCAGGTTCCATTAAAACAGAGGAAGCTGAAGTCGGGGGATGTTGATCCAGATTATCTATGCTCGAAAGATTTGTATTAATCAAATCGATTAATCCGTTAAGATATTTTACGGTAACCTATTGAAGAAAACACATATTAGCAATATCATAAGATGTCTAAAAATAATATGAAATGATCACTTACAGCTTCATTCTGTCGCTCAAAGTAATATATATATCTATTCAGAATCTCTACAAATAATTCAACATTGGTCACTGAATCCATACAAGAATCAGCAATCTTTAGAGCTTTTTGTAAGCAGTCTAGAACTTTTTTCCCATCTCGATAAAGCTCCTATATATATTACATATATTATATGATTAATTCAATTGAGATGTACCACTTAAATGAACAAATAAAAAAAGATTTAACAACCGTTGGTGATTTTTCATTTCTGCTGTAAATTTCAGTGGCCCACCATAAATGACTAGCCAAATAAACCGCTCGACATTGGTCTGGTTTTTTCAGTAGTTTGCTGCCATGCAGAGCACATTTTGTGATTAGAGTATCATAATTTTCAGACCCAAATACTCGAGTCGCTTGTAGAGTGCCAATAATGAGAGTGATAGCTTGGAATTGTTCTCTAGATCCAGATATTGACTCTTCATAAATCGTGAATGCCTACAGTAATATTGTTTTGTGAGGAACTAATCATTTATTTCTTGATTAAAATTAAAATTAGAATTTTAATAAAAATCTACCTGAACGAAAAATTCATAGCAAATTTCTTCAAATCCACATTCATCCGCACTTTGTCCAGCAAGCAAGAAAAGCCGCAAACAAATAGATGAGAATTCTACTTTTTGACAAAGAATAGATATAATCTGATGTATAAAACGAAATAGAGTTGATGTTTTCTTCTCCCAGTTATTATCTTGTGCTTCTAGAGCTTTATAACTTCTCGCCAGCTTAATGGCCGATACTGCAAGCGGCGGGAAGGTATATCGTATCCTCTCACCACCTTCCGAGAATTGTTTGCGAGCTGTTGATAGGAGCTATCAATGTGATATATATTATATTTAGTATATTTCTTCTTATTTTAATGCAATCTACATTAAAGACAGACAGTCTGAATTACCATGAATTGGCTGTCGGGATCCTCATTTTTGAATAGATGAATGATTCTAGCAAGCCATCCTTGTTCTTCAGCGAATTCCTCGGGATCCATAACTGGCTCCTTGTTACCCCTAGAACTTCGCCCAGCAGTAAAACTACTAAAGGGACTTGATGTTACAGCATCTTTTTGATCACGAATAAGTACGCTACAAAGATCAAGAATCCCATTTACTTCCTCCGCTGTGTCTATATATGTTTCATACTTAAGAATTGATGCTACAATAGCATGCGCGACTGAACGACGCGTAGCAAATGGTTGGAGGGCAAGTAGTCCGGCATAATTAGGCAACGCAAGAAGTGTAAGCACTGTATTAAATGAATTTATTGGAGCAAGCAAAAGACTTAAAAGGTTGGCGATAGTAACGGAATTATGGAGATCTGGATTTTGACTTAATATTAAAATTTATGCCATTGTTAATCATTAGTTAAAACGCGAAAAAAAGATTTAAGCAAGTTAATAATTAAAGATACCTTTCACTGAACTCGACAAATTTGCGTTTAGCAAATTCAATAACTTGATCCACGTATTCAATTTGATCAGGATAACAACTGAGAGACAAGTTGACTAAAGACACCAACAAAGCAGTAATATCTTGTATCGATAAATCACGTCGCGCCTAGGATAACAAAGCTATCGAATCAACAAAAATAAAGCTACACCCAATCGATAGCAAATCCAACCAATGATTTCTTCTAGACAACACAAACCTTCACCAGATTAACTATCTGATCCCAAAAAACTTCAAATAATTTAACATCTTCTGGAATTCCTCGGTACTTTTTCACCGGAAGTTCTGAATCAGCTTTTTGTTCCAACTCATCATCGAATTTCGTTTCTAAATCATCTTCAAAAACTTCATTCCCGGACAGTTCTTTTTCTGTGGAATCAGTTTGAAAAGGGTCTTCTTCATATCCTAGTTTATGTTTGACTTTTTCTGCTAATCTTTTCGCGGCCTCTTCTTCTTGACGCTTGATTTCTTCTGCGGGTTCAGAATCAGCCTCGCGAGCAGCATATGCAGCTAAGCGATCAATTAATGCTATTACTATTTGTTTTACGTTCACCTTATGCTGAAGTTGTGCTGTTGCCGACAAATAAGACCCTAGTGTTCTGAGATGGAAATCGTCGTGAAACACCTAGATATCAAAGCCATGTCAATCGATGTGTATTTTTTAAAGAAAGAAGAAATATACGGCTACCCACTTGAATTATCACTTCCATTAAATATTCTTGTGCTATTACATCTTTACAATTGATCACTTGTTCTAAAATAGCAGGCAAAATTGTCTGATACAATTTCATCATAAATAAAAGAAAGATTAATACATTATAATTAAGTTTTATTAATAATTCGCTATCTTGCATTACCTTTTGATACATATTCAAATCGACACCATCTAGTTGACTTAATCGAACCAAATTAGTGCCAACTAAAATTTTTAATTCTTTGCGTTCCATTTCACGTTTTTCGCGATCACGCGAATGTCCTTGATGCTGTAGACGAACCCAAAGTTTGTTCATCTCAATGAAATTTGTAAGTATAAAGGAAATAGAATCTTGAAGATTTCCTGGAGGGCTGAATAAAAGTAAATATAGTTCTCCGCTTAAAATATTGTATGATTTTGAACTTATAAAGATTACCGTATTTTGCCGTGTATAAGCAACTTGTGACAAATAAATGTTTACATATAAATATGGGAACTTAGTATAATAAAATACATGTGATAAATTAAAAAAATTACTAAAAAAAAAGGCAATGCTACAGTTTGCTTATACACGGCAAAATACGGTAAATACATTATACAACATACCCTTGATCATTGCCAATGGGTAACGAGTCCCTAGTCATCCCGCTTAAATAGTGTCTTAAGAATAAGCCACGAGTTGGATGTTGTACACCACGTGACATTTCCATCATATCCTTCATTATTTCTTTAACTGGTGCATCTTTTTGTGACATATAACAGCTTCCTACTGTGATCATTAGGTACAGTCGAGGAATAATATTTCCAGCATATTGAACCAATTCGTAAAGATCGGCCAAATGATGTTTTCCCGAGTTGTGAGCATCATTTAAATATATGTTAAGGTGACGAAGAGCATCAAATATAGCCATGTAAAGCTCATAATAGTGTTTTGGAGTTAATGCAGAAGTTCGTAACTCTGCTAACATTGTAGAGCAGTGTTTCAGACCATCCATTAGCTTACTATTATCGATACAACGCTTCATTTGGTAGGCATTTCCCTTCACCACAAATAACTATAAATAATACACCAAAATCAGATGCAAAATAATATGTATTTAAAAGAAATATTCGTAGATTGCTGTAATTAATACCGTCTCTTCCAAAAGCTTTGCCTGGTCTTCTAAGGAAACCGGTGTTGAGACCATTGTTTGCATAGTATTCACAATATTTCTCCAGGAATAAGTTACTTCAAGAAGGTTCAAGGTAGAGTTTGGTTTGACAAATCATGTGGCCAGATAATTTGGCTATCAGGCACATCATGATTTTCTGTCAATAACGATAAGACGATCATGCATTTTTTGCGAGACAATCAAAATGGCCCATTTTGACCCGCTTAGCTTAATCCTCGAGGAATCAAGTGAGGGCAAGACTTTTACTAGCCTGTACATATCTTTTGCTAAATATACTGAGTTTTCTCGTTCTCAAACTCACAAGACAATCAAATACAAGAGTTGACTAATGAACTTGCGACAAATAATGCTAATATAACGAAAGAAACGCTTTCACCAGCAGAAGCAGCTACAAAACGCGCTACAACAAAGAAACGTGCATTATCACCGCCATTATCCTTGACAAAGTGTCAAGGTTGCAACGTTTCTACAGCAAAATATAAATGTCCACGTTGCAGATTTCGTACTTGTTCCCTTGCTTGTAGTCGTAAACATAAAGAAATTGCCAAATGCAATGGGATTAGATCAAAGACACATTATGTACCTCGTGAAAACTATGGATATCAAGAATTAATGTTAGGTTGACATTTTTTATACTGTCAATATATACTTTGTTATATTTTATCGATAAAGTTTTAACACGTAAATTTTTTTTCCAGATTATACTTATCTTGAAGGAGTTTCACGTACAATTGACGTTAGTGAACGATCGTTGCCAGAAAAATATAATTCTGATGCTGATCGGGAAAGCCATAAGCGATATCATCAAGATCTTGTTTATAAAGCAGCACATCGACGCGGGATCAATTATTTCTCTATGCATCGAGGAATGAAAAGGAATCAAATGAACACGTCTAGATTCATTTAGTATGCTTGATATTTTTATATATTTATTAAAATAATGCTTTCATTTATAAGTAGGGATGTTTTACGGTTTATTTGGTTTGAAATAGTTTATAATTTTTTAATAAGTGACTTAATTTACAATATTATAATCTATAATTTTAATTAATAACTTTACAAAATAATGATCTCAAAAATTAGTAATTTCATTTAAACCATGCGGTTCAAACCATTGTCCAAACCGATGGTTTAAATGAAATTACTAATTTTCTATAGATTTTTTGTAACAAGTAACTTACTTTCAAATTTTACGCTAATTAGAAGGTTAAAGAAAAATAATTATATTAATACTTGGTAATTTCAATCAGGTAAATAAACCGATAACATCCCTATTTTTTAAGAATTTAGCAATTAATGTTAATTTGACGTTTCATTTATGATATAGTCAAACGCTCAATATAATTTGGCAAGTTGAATGGATATTTCCGGAACTCGAAAATCAAACAATTTATCATAGGTAATTTATACAAGGTCTATCTTTACATTACCTTAATATTTATTTTTATATATATATATATTTTCGATAATTAGAATAAGTGAAAAGAAGGTTTTGTCAGAAGCCTTGAAGGAATCGATTATACCGCGTTTAACTGCTTCTGAACAAACATACTTTACCGGGACAAATTCTAATGACTACGATTTTTTCCTCAAATTGGAGAAACAACCTGTATGTTATATTATTATTTTTTTTTTTACACGATTTCTTCCCACTAAATATTGATATTAATTAAGTCTATGTATTTTTTCAGTCAAATAATATAACGTATTTTCGCGTGAATCCCAATTCCACTTTACTTAATTCATTAAAGGGTAAGTGTATAATAGAATTTCCTACGATTTATGTATACAAAGAACTGCCAAAGAATCCTGGACTTGAAGAAGTACGAACATTGGATAAGAATGATCCCGAAACAAGTAAAGGCATAATATTGCAAAATACAAATATCAAAGATGCTAATGGTGATGAGATAGGTGGAGAGTCAGATATTGAAGACGGAATTGATAGTGAAATGGAAAAAGACGATGAAACCGATAGTGAAGTTGACGAAGATGAAAATAATAGCGAAGTAATCGAAGATGAAAATGAATCCGATACTGAAAGTGAAAATGACAGCTCTTTGGATGAGGGATATATTGACGTGATTGGCATGTCAAATAATGATGATAATGATATAATGACAACCAAGACAACGATTCATTATGACAGATAAAAATGGGTTGCTAAAATCAAAAAAAAAGTTCAAGATAATACGATCTGCGAAGCAAGGCTTAGTTAGCTATACACAAGATATATAATATGCAAACAAAATAAACATTATCTTAAGACGCAAAGACGCTAAACCATTTAATTTATTGTATAATAACGACAATAGGGTGAGTTCAAAATGTTAATTGTATTAACATTATTTAATTTGTTACATGAATACTTTCTAAAGATCATTATATTGCATATTTTTGTAATATTAATCCCGTGAATTTTACTTAACATTTAGTTAATTCAAAGTTTCATCTGTTATTTGAAAGAATTTATTATCCATCAAGAAAAATAAAATTATCATTTCTAAGAAATCTAACTAAGCTATCTAATCAATTTACCTTCGATAAGACATCCCAATATACTTTATGCTCATACACAAAATGACTTTTCCCGCCATAATCTATTTCCAACTGCGGCACATCAATAAACGTGTCCAAATTCACCCATTGTTTCTTGTTTGCAACTTTTTCGGGCTCCAGCAAATTTACAAACTGTATTTTTTCTTTAGTGACCGGATCAATGAAGTTTCCAATTAATTTAAAAAAAGTCCAGAAATACCATGGTCCTAATAATAATATTCAAATCAATTAGCCACTCATATTAAATCAAATTTCAAATAATCGATAACTTTGAATTAATAGTATACCATTAATTACACATGCCAATCCTAATCTTTCAGGGTAATGTGATCCCAAGACATGCATAAATTCCTTTGCAATACCAAGACCAGGACTAGTACGCGCCGATGTTTTATTAAAATCTACGAGAATCGTGATTGTTTCCACATTCTCAGGCATCAATGTGATTGCTTTCTCAAACCAGAATACCACATTGCGGACTTGTGACGGTCCCGCTTTAGTATTCTCGTAGCCAGGTCGTAGTACTAGAATTGGACGTCCATATTTATCGAATCCATGCAAATACATTTTTCCTGTTAAATTCTATTATCAAGGAAAAATTTAGTATAAGTTCTCTTTAGAATCAACCTATAATTCTTCAATTACCTCTTCAATCATTTCCTCCATATCAATCTGATCTGGTTTATAATCTCGTCGCCATTCTAAAGTGTATTTTATTCTTTGTTTGGCATCATTAATATGCCATTTTGAAGCGCGTAAATATCTTTTTAAACAAGCTTCCGTTACCCATGCTCGTTCATGTGAGTAATACGCATCATCTTCCGGTAACAAGATGCTTTCGACATAAGTTTCTAATTCTGTTAAAATAGCCTTTTGTTTGTCATTTAACGGAGCTGGCAGAATAGGAGTATAATTCTCGGGTGGTGTTAGAGTTGGTGTGTTTGTGGTTGTCATAGAAGATTCTTCGAGTTTAGTGGGTTCGGTTGTACTTTCTACCTCTGTAGCCATTGAAAGAACAAACCCAAAAAAATGCTCGAAACATATCGATATTTTAGGGTGCTAACATATATTAGCCTCCTCCCCCACGAGTCCTACGATAAAACGTCACAGTACAAGTTCTTAAAGAAGTAACGTATGGTGAATGCGCACAACATACACATGTATGACAATACGCATTTAGAATAATGCAACAAATTATACGCATATATGCATCAAAATATATTAATATTTAAATAATAAACTAATAAATAGTTGTGTAGACTCAAGCTCTACCCCTACCCTCCCCCAAAATATTAGCTAATAAATGTCACTGCCCTTATCGTTACAGAGTAATCGAGTTTACTATGGAAATATCTCGTCCCGAAAATTTTGCACGTGAAAACGATAAGATTATGATATCCAATCAGGTCACAAAAATCTCGGATAAAAAATGATTCTTTTTAAATCAACGATATTTCCTCTCCGAAAAAACATTTTGCAGAAAACTCTGCAGAAAGTTAATATACGACGCGCTAATCTGCATTATCAAAAACCACTTCCATATGAATATCAAAATGGTTTACCACCTCTTTTTACACCGAAAGCATTACAGGTTTTATATAACGAGTATCATATTAATTTGATTCAAAAGTTGAATCAGCTCTCAGGTACTTGAATAATATATTCATCTATCCATTTATCTATCTATCCATCATAAAAGATAAAATATTAATATTTGTTCAAAATATTATTACTTTCAGAAACAGAATTTGAAAACTCATCGGTAATTGATATAATTGAAAAAACCGCACAAGTCCCTTCGCAAGCTGTACTTTTTAATTACGCGTCACAGACATTTAATAATGATTTTTTCTTACAAACCTTAGTTAGTATACTAATAAAAAATATACAGTCGAACCTCCATAAAAGAACACAATTGAGACAATCAAATTAAATTCTATTGTGGAGGCGTTCTCTTAATAGAGGTATTTCTATTATAGAAGATATCGATCTTGTTTCTATAGAAAAATGTTCTCTGTTCCTTTATAGAGGGTTCTTTTATGGAGGTTCGACTGTAATTCCTTCATGCTAATTACAATAATAAATGAATTATAATAATCATTCTTTTTTCGTGATCTAGACGGATAATCAAAAGCGAATCAATTATAGAATTTTTACCCGTCTTACCAATGAGTTTGGTAGTGTCGAAGCATTTAAGAAAGAGGTAAATTCACTTGTTGAATTTTCGATAATTGATTTAACACTTAATATTTGATTATGTTATTTATTTACTGCATTAATTAGTTTAAGAGTAATGCGATGGCGATATTTGGATGTGGATGGACATGGTATATATAGTTAGTCCTATGATCGATTTTTTTTTAAATTTTAACGAGTTTTTTAATAGGCTTGTCGAGACAGAGTTTCAAATGCTTCGGATCGTTAATTCATATAATGCAGGTATGGCATTAAAAATACCGATTCCAATAAAAAAGAATTTATTTTTAGTTTAAATCATTCAAACAGGCACAGCACTCGACACATCACGATCTCAATCAGTCGAACCAAACTTTGATAGTCTTTCTGCACCAGCAATCTCTTATGTTAAAGAAAAAGAAAAATCACTTCAAGCTCCATCTGCTGCACCTTCTGTTCCGCCTCCAAATCTTCTTCGTTTCACGCCACTATTGGTGTTGAGCGTATGGGAACATGCTTATTTGACAGATTATGGTGTCAACGGACGAGACGAGTATATTGATCGGTTTTGGAACTGTGTTGATTGGGAAAAAGTTGACCAGCGAGCAATTTTCGATTGAATGACGAGTAAAACCAATTAAATATTTGGTCAATGATAAAAGTTTTTTTTATCTGATCCGGGATTACGTTAACTATCTCAAATAATCTATTTACAATGCCAAAAAAATGAGAACATTTTCCCTTCTTTTCTACTATTACTAATGAATGATTTTCTTATGATTAATAAATTAAACTTGTGCCGGATTAGTAATCGTCTTCATTCAACGCAATTTTTTTGCCTTGTGCTTGGAAGTACACAACAATTATTTCTTTCGAGAATGAGAAAGACTGATCATGTTTGAGTTTCATCTTCATCCTCCTCTTCACTAAGTTGCACCACCAACTCCCGTCGATCTTCAGTTAAATTCAACCCTCCTCCTGCAAACTCATTTTCAACTTCATTATTTCCATGTTTGAAAATGTAGACACAACTTTTTAAGAGGTTCTCAGATACCTCAGGAGTCACCTTATCATAAAGGTCGTTGTGTACAACTGGAATCTGACGTGGAGTGGCCCATTGTTGCTATTTAATTAAGAATATATTAATCATTTTATTAGTATAAATGGTTGTTTATTGAAATAATAAGATCTCTCGAAAAACCTTATGACGGAAATAAGTTTCCCCGCCTTCCAAAGCTCGGTGCCTTTCATAGTCATAGCGCCCGTTCAAATGTGACTTTTTCTCCTCATTTTCCTTGGACTGCGTTTTCATGGCTATTGTTTCCAAGCTATTGAAAATTGCACCAGCAGTTTCTTGACTAATGTTATCCCACAATTCTGCGACAATATTAACGGATCGGTCTTTTTTGTTTGATTCCAGAGTCTTGTGATTATACCCTCGTAACAAAAAATTCGCAGGATTTTGTTCTTCGAATTGTTGATTAACTTCATTATAAACTGGCCAATTGTCATCGTCAGAATCAATCAAACCATCTTGCATATTAATTTGCAGTCGACTTTCTTGCATAATATTGTCATTGTTTATTTTTTCATCGTTGCTTACATCTGCCTTTCCCTTTGATGAGTCAGTAATATCATTATGAAATGTAAAGGCAACTTCACTAGATTTTCTAGAGGGTGTATATGTGATGGATTCATCAATTTCTGCTATAGAAATCATATCTTCATCTTTGAGATGGCGAACTCGTGAATCAATTTCATGAGTTGATCTTGAGCGAAAATGTTGTGGGGGAGAAATAAAACCACGACTTCCATTACCTGCACCTGAAAATCGACCATCGGGTAAATAAGTTTTGTTGGATATAAAAGAATTTATAGAGTGAGATTAAATTACCTTGTCGTGAATTCCGATTGTTATTAGGAGATTGTTGAGACTGTGCAGGAGATGAATTAATTAACGCATTGTTATTGCGATTCGATGGTGAATAATCTTCATTGCGATAATCATTATTCCTATCATATATTTCGGTTGAGCCACCTCCACGGTTAAATGACGGATTTAGACGCAAAGAAACTGGTGGTCCAAGAGATGAACCATAAGAAAGTCTCCTAATTCCTATTGATACATCATAATCACTGCTGAACCGACGATCATTAAATCCTGAGGAGCTAGATCTGTTATGTGTAGAGAATTGAGTGGGAGTTGTCTGAGATTTATGCGAAATAGGGGATGAAGGTGTATGTGTTCCAGTAGAACTTTCAGTATTGCCGCGTGATCGTCTAGGTGGAGTTTCAGATTGCCAATCATTAATAGGTCTTTGTTCTTTGGTTTCTCTTTTTGATAACAAATTGCTTGTGGGAGTAGTGGGTGATATACTTTCTCTAATATGTTGATCAGTATCACGAGTCGTCATTTGCCTATTATCTATATTTGGACTTTCTTTAGAATCATGATCATCCAGACGAATCTTTTTATGTGGAGGCGTTTCACTTTCATCTTCACGCTCGGATTTTCGAATATTTCGAGATGCACTTGGACCAGCACGACTATTGTTATCAATGGCTGGTTTGTTGCGATTTGTCTCATTTTTATCAATTACATTTGGAAATGTCCAGCGGCTTTCTCGTGTAATTGTATTGAAATAATAGATTTTTTTCTTACTAGAAAGACATTTTTTCCATGGATATGGCAATTCAATTTCATCTTGAGAAGATTGTGTGAGCTTAGATTCTTTATTCAAATGATTGATATTTTTATCATCCTTGGAGCGATTATCCAGAGTTTGTCCATTTTGTGCATCACGATCGCTTTCATCTTTTGATCGTGTATTCTTATCTATGTCAATAACTTCCCGACTATTAGATTCTGATTTTCCAACTTTAGAGCTTGAATCTTCACGCATGGGTGGTTTTTCAGAATCTCTTGGGTAGCGGTCTGAAGGTTGCCTATGCGAAATTATTTTTTCACTAGTGGCGCTTGGACTTAGACGACGAGCATCATTTGCCTTTTCTCTTCTGTGATCTGTGAAATCTTTATCAGAAAATATCGGAGGGCCGCGAAAGTCACTATCTCTAATGTCACGATCCAGATCCCAGGAAGGCCGCTGTTCGTTTGGTCTCAGGTGACGATCAGAAAAATTTTCGGGTAAAAAATCTCGAATTTGTTCTCTTTCTCTCCCATATTCAGCATGATATCTATCAGAAGCTATTATATCATTGCGAAGATCCCGATCGCGAAATTCTCTTTCGAAATCACGTATTGGACGGCGTTCAGGATCTCTAAGATGAAGATCTGTCGAGGGCCGATAAAGGTCAGGAACTCCAGTAGTACGCGTATGTCCCTCATCGCGCATTTTCATTCCCCTGTCTCTCTCTCTTAAAGTTTCTTCGCGTGATCTCGCATCTCTTTCTCTGTCTCTTATTAGATCTTCGCGATGTCTTGCCTCTTTGACATTTAATTCACGTTGTTTATTGTCTTTTTCTCGATCCTTTAATGGACTCTCTTTTTGCGTTTTCTCCTGATTTTGATCATTAGGAATTATAGAACGTTCCCTTGCCGATACACTAGAAGATCTGCTTGCCTCTCCGGCGCGAACTGTGTTTGAAGACAAACTTTCCGAGCCTGAATTCCCTTTGTCCATTTCGATGCGCTCTCTATTGCGTGGAATTTTATCACGTTCGTTTTTACGTTGAGTGTCAAAATATGTTTTGTTTTCTAAGAAATTTTTATTATTATATCTTGTTGGGCGTCCTCGTTCACGCCATTCTCTATCACGTTCGGTGTTTCTTTCAAAAGGGAAAGGAGGAGGTCTCTCTGTGGCCATGGCTCGATTGTATCTCTCCTCTCTTTCTCGTTCACGTTGTGCTCTACGATCTTCGATAGCAGATTGATATCCAGATGAACCTGAATTTAGACGGATCGTCCGTTCATTATCATTATGTCGTTCTCGGTCTATATTACGACCTTCATCAGATGATGGTTCACTGCGACTACTGGACGATTTAGCTTTCTTTTCTATGTTATCTTTAATTTCAATCTGCTCTTTTTCATGATGTCTATTAGATTCCGAAGATGGATTGTCATTTGAAGACGGTAGGACAGATTTATTTGTTTTTTTACCTCGATCGCTTAAGCTATCGTTTGGAATTTCACCTTGCTCACCACCATCATCATCATCATCAATTATTGAATTTTCATCATCGTCAGCTATAATCGAAACAACATCTTCTTTTGCAGGTTCAGAATCATCATAAGAAGCAATTGATTCCTTAGAATCATCATTGCTCTGTTTCCTTCTTTTAAGAGGTACTTCTGATGAATTAATACCAGAAATTGGTACAAAATCTTCTGATTTTTTAGATTGAAGTTCTTGGAATCTTCTTGATTCCTTATCTTGTTCTCGGTGGTTTCTTGCTTCTGTTTCCTCCTCCTCTTTTTCCTTATTTTCATTTTGTAAACTGGTGGCATTGTCATTATTATCCATGGACTCGATTAGTGGTTCCTGGGGGACTTCTTTTGGAACATCTTCATGCCTAAGGAACGAGATTTATCATTTTATTTATCTTTGTCGAATTTTTTGTCAAAGAATTATATCATTTGGATAAAAACCATACTTTTGTAAATTTGGAGATTCTTTAGAGACACTCTTGTCTTCAGATTTATTGTCCGTTTGGCTTTTTTCTTGTGCTTTACGTGTAACAGGATTGCTTGCAGGTCTAGGATTGATCTTATTATTATTATTATTATTTGCCTCTTTCTTTGTCAGTTCTGCAGATGAACGCTCTTTGGTTTTGACAGCAGTGGGTTTGCGATCTATATCTAGAGTACGCTCTTCCCGCTCGACCTAGAGTGCCAAAAAAAGTGCAGATCCAAAATTTATATTATAAAATCGTTCCGGTCCCAAAAGGTAAATATTAAAATTTAATAAGTATTAACTGGACGAGAAATTCGAGTATCCTCTGATATGCGACGAACTGGTTTTCTTGCCTCGCCACTAAAAACATGCTCTACTTTTTCTTTTTTCGTTCCTAATTGTCTTTCGGCAGGAGAATTTCCTGTATTTTTCGTTCCCAAACGGTCAAACACTGAGGGCCTTGTTTTTTGACCTGAAGGCTGCTCAGGTAACGTGTTTCGTTTTTTTCTTTGAAGCATTGAAGCGTCTCTTGGCGATGCAGCTACTTGAGATGTTGAAGCTTGTGGGTTCACTTGGAAAGGTGATTGAGGCGGTCTCGGAGGAATGCGTTTACGGTTCGGTCGCTCAGGTGGCATTTTTTGCTGCTACTGAAAAACAAGGGAGGTTGTATCAACGCAGCATACTTCAACCGTTGTATGAACTTATTTGTCCGAGTGACCAATTGTGACCATCCTAATTATAATCATTATGTCATACAACGGTAGCGAAAAAAAGTTACGGGTCATGTGATTCCGACACAACTAAGAAGTATAATTTCTACTGGCTATGATCTACAGATTGCTGATTACGCCAGGTCGGAATTCAAGACAAGGACATCAAATCTTTAAAAGGTGAAGAGATTGAAGTGACTTGTTTTTATTTAATAACGTTAATAGAATAATCTTTATTTGGATTTTTTCTTTTGTATTTATAGCATGCCCACAAAAAATCTTGAGAATTTTTGTTATAAATTATTATTCATCAATAAGTAATTCTAAATATTATTTTTCTCTTAGATAAATGCGTTATTTGATCAATAATAATAAATAGTATCTACCGTGCAATTTGACAATCAATATCAAATATTCTTGAAAAGACTATTCATGAACTACTTCCACTGTTCAAACATTATTAGAACCCATCTAAGCAAAAAAATATATTATTATCGAGTGAATCTTCGTAAATGCTTTTATGCAACGGGTAAATTTCTACATTCTAAAGATATGCAAAATTCCATTCTTATCGTAATCTAAAGCAAAAATCTGAATAACAAATAAAAGATCACCAGAAATTTTATGGCGAAGTAGCTCTAATAACTGGTGGTACACGTGGGATCGGATTCGAACTCGCGAAAAAATTCGCAACGGGTGGAGCAAATTGTATTGTAGTTGGAAAAAATTCGGAACGCGTAAATGTTGCTGTTCTAAATCTAATGAAATTGGAGAGAGAGAAAAAGAATAACGCGGATAATAATAAAAAAGGTGAAATTGGTCATGATCATGATAATAGACATATAGGCATCGTATGTGATTTGAGCAGTGGTATAGAAATCGAAAAAGCGGCAAAGGTAAATGATATTGATTTAATTTATTGAGAAATTGGCTTAATTGATCATTTTAAATTAAGGCATTCAAGCATTTTGGAAGAGTCGATTATTTGATAAACGCTGCTGGTAAAATAGAATTTTCACAGATATATATTTTGATAATCAAAACAAAATATCTCAAACTTGCTGCTATTATTTGATAAGGCATTTCGCACGACAGCTTGTTAATCCAAGTAAAAGATAGTGAAATCGACGAAATAATAAGCACTAATTTAGTTGGGGCTATTCTTGTGTCTCGTAATGTTGCTAAAATTATGTTACGACAAAATAAAGGTAATGATGATAATTTATTAACTAAATAAAAGCTTGGCTTTTTTAATGTCTAGCTGTGTTTTGAATTTTTCTCACAAATTTTCTTTTTGGAAAGAAAGGCTGCATTATAAATATTTCAAGCGTTATTGGACTTTACGGAAATTCGGGGCAATCCATATATAGTGCTTCAAAAGCAGGAATAATAGGTTTTCGATTTTGCTTTTGTATAAATTTGGATAATGAACCCAATACTAATAAATTAATAAACAACAAAGGATTTTCGAAATCTCTCGCCAAAGAACTTGCTCGGAAAAATATACGAGTCAATGTGATTGCACCTGGATATATTGATACAGAGATGACATCGGGTTATTATGGGAAAAGTTTATTTTTTCAGAGCGGTTTTTATTTTTCGGTTTTAATTGGATTTTTTAACTTAATAGGATTACCATCAAAGACTAAAGACGAAATCTTATCGAAAACGTTGTTGAATCGTATTGGAGATGTAAAGGTAATTTAAAGAACTCAAGTAAAAGATAATGACTCATGTGTAATGTGATTTCTTTTAGGATGTCGCTCACGCTGCTATGTATCTTGCAACAGCTAATTTCGTGACTGGACAGGTATGTATGAAAAAATAAATAAATAAAAATATCCTTGTTTTATGATCTTTAAATTTACTAGTATATTTTATAGACTTTAATTGTTGATGGTGGATTATCGATTTCTTAGTTGTGTCTATCTCTTGAATACATAAATTAATTCGGTAAGTTATGAATTATTGTCATAATAGATGCCGACGTGATTGGAATTCTACTTTTATATATATTAGTATAAATTCGCCCAGCAGTTCTGCTTGTAACATGATGAGCCTTTGTATATAAAAGGTCATGGCACTTTCAGAAAATCCATAAAGTGACGTGCCAGTGTCACGCGAAATAAAATAGGCCGCCTTGCTCGAATTATTCAAATTTAGTAGAAGTGTATAAAGTGAGCTGTCGTTTTCGTGAATGGCTAAAAAAAATTACATTGAATGAAGAGTTGAAATGATATATGTCATAAATTAAGATGAGCACGATTTCTTCATTTATTAACAAAATTAAAAGTTAACGAATCATATGAGCGTGATGACATGTAAAGATTAGGCCGTGAGCCAGGATCCAATAAATAATTAATAAAATCTCATCAAAATTACCAACTTTCCCCCAGAAGAAATTAAATGTATTATAATAAGAATTACAATAATACAGAGTAAATCAAAAAAAAATATAAATCAATAAAAAACAAAATCAATAAATTCTTTATCATATAAAAGCTAATAAACTAATCTTTGCTAATCTCCTCAGCATCTACAAAATAGGTTAAATATCCGATTAATAAATTAATAAGAATAAATGAAAGTATAATAACAAGAAAGCAATCAATACCTGCACTAGAAGCTCTCGTCACTTCATATCGTCGTGGAATCGAAGGTAATTTAGGAGCAGTTATTCGTTCCGGATCTGCATTGCCTTTGAAGAAGAATATTGTCAGCTAAAAAAGTTAATAAGAGAAAATAGTTCAAAGGTTTGACTTTTACCTGTATCTGAGATTAGATATGGGGATATGTCTGATGACTTGTCTTGTGTATTCAAAGTTGACATATCAGAATTATTAGTTTGTCGTATAATTTTTATTGAACTATCACTTGCAGTAGTGGTGGGTGACGATGAGGCAAAACCAGTATGCCCAGGAAATATATTACTACTATTATCGTCGTTGCTATCATTGCTTGTTTGAAATGATTTTGACGCGGAATTTCGAGGTATCTGTCGTGTTCCAGATTGTCGAGAGTTATTTGAAACAGGACGATAATCATCTTCCCAACGTCCATTATCCACCTCATTATGAGGTAAATTTGTATATTTTGGGTTGTTGGTATTTTCATCAGTTTCAGGGCGGGTTTGTTGTTTGAGACGATCATACCATTCTCTTACTTTCTTTTTTGTGGCTATAAAAAGATGTAATTTCTTATCATTTTTAACTTACTTTTAAGGAGATTAAGACATTTTTACTTACTGTCGGCGACGTTTACAATTTTCTCTTTGATTACAGGTATTTCGTCTATATTTTGAAAAATAAAATTGTTTGAATAAAGAAATTGGTATTTTACTTAAGCTTAAATCATTGTTTCAATTTTTACCTGAAAAATTAAAATCGGAATTTTGTTGTTGCTGCTGTTGAGTGTTGGCGGGACGATTTCGTGCATTCGCAGAGACATGAGAAGGTGGCCCATATCCAGCAGCCCCTATTATAATCATTACATTGGTCAAACTTAAGAAGTTCTCATAATTTTAATTATTTAAACAAAACTTACTATCAGCCTCTGCTGCCAAGTTACGTGCTAATTCTTCGTCACGTAATAGTTGTTCTCGTGATGTCGAAGTCAAGAGACCCTAAAACCATTATTAAAGCATTAAAACATCGAAATTTATTGAATGGGTCTATTATTGATTGAGATAAATGATAATAGCGTACTTCGGCTTGGACGGGTATATTGTCTTGACTTTTATAATTAGGATCCGATATTTCTAATAAAGCGTTAAGAGCTGGTTCTAAGGCGCCGTCGTGTGCGTCCAAAACTTCCTCAAGATAGTCAATGTCTGGGAACATTGCTTTCAAGGTGGCGAGCGCTTCATTTCTGTCTATAGCCATGCTTGCTTTATAAAAAGAAGATAGTGCAAAACTCTTATGAAACAGTAGATTAATTGCTTTCTATATATAATTAAAATAATCGATATGCGACTACATTTATATTTTCTCAATTGTCATATTTCACGTGGACTGGATTTCGTAATTCGCTCGGCATGGGAGTTTCCCTGAGACATTATTTTGACGACTTATCGTTATGTCTTGGTATTTTACTTGGTATCTTGGATTATCAATAATTGTGGGGATCATGATGAAAAACGGATTATGGTGAAATATCTATTATAATAAACTATGAATAACAATTATACTCATAGTATATAGCAATATGAATATTATTGCAAAATTAATTCAAGTTATCATTATTTTCAAGATATATTGCTCTTTTATCTCATGATCTGCACAATTTTGGCTAAAATTTTCACCATAATCCGTTTTCCATCACAATAATTTTTCGATCGACACGCTTATCAAATTTTCCCATCAGTTTTTAGAGTAAGCATTAACGAGATAATGTTTTTGCCTAGAATCATCTCTAAAGCCAAGCCTTTCAGTCGGTTTAAAGTATCTTTTTTACATTCTTTTCGTGTCGGTTCTATACTCTACTGCATAGCTCGAGCATTTTCTGAACTTTAGACGTCCTTAGGTCTTCGGTCTTACGTTTCGGCAGTACCAATTACTGAGACTTTTAATGCGAAAAAGAATGCAAATGTAATTACTTTTCATTATTCAATTTTGTATTTTTACTATATCTAATACTGGTTTACACCGTAGGGAAATTACACCGTGACTTTAATACCTGGAGACGGAATTGGACCTGAAATATCAGAGTCTGTCAAAAGAATATATGAAGCCGCAAAAGTAAAATTGTTATTAAATAAATTTCTATTGCGTTCATGAATTATAGCAATTTGTAGCAATTAACATGATTCTTATTGATTTGTATAAGGTTCCTATTGATTGGGAATCCGTCAGTGTTACACCGATACTGAAAAAAGGACGGGTTAGCATTCCTGAAGAAGCCTTGAATTCTGTAAAGAAAAACACTATTGCTCTAAAAGGTGTATATACACGTTAATTTTTAACGATATGCTCTTAGATGATAATTGGTGTTTCAATTCGTATTTGAATATTGATATGGTTTGCAGGGCCCTTGGCTACACCTATAGGGAAAGGACATGTTTCCCTCAATCTTACTCTTCGACGTATTTTCAGTCTTTTCGCAAATGTCCGGCCATGTAAATCAATTGTCGGTTTCAAGACTCCTTATGATGATGTAAATACAGTTTTAATTAGAGAAAATACCGAGGGTGAATATTCTGGAATTGAACATACCGTAAGAGAAATCTGATCTCGATAATGTCATCATGTAATATCTCGTTGAATATTTTACCAAGATATCTTACATTAAGGTGGTTGACGGGGTTGTTCAATCAATAAAACTCATTACAAGGGATGCCTCTGAGCAATGTGCACGCTATGCTTTTAAATATGCACAAGCTATTGGACGCAATCGAGTTACTGCAATTCATAAAGCCAATATTATGTAAGAATAAGATTAACTTTCGGATGTCAAATGCCTATAATTCAACTATAAATCTTATATATAATCCATTATATAGGAAATTATCAGATGGTCTCTTCTTGGAAGTCGCTTATGAAGTTTCCAAAGAATTCCCAGATATCAAATTCGATGATGTTTTATTGGATCGTGCTTGCCTTCATGTAAATAATGAAAAAAATTTGAAATCAAATTTTTGGTCGATCTTTTTTTTAATCTATTGAATTTTTCGTGTTTGTTAGATTGTCCAAGATCCAGCACTATATTCAGATACTGTTATGGTTATGCCAAATTTATATGGCGATATATTGTCGGATATGTGTGCTGGACTGATTGGTGGCCTTGGTTTGACACCATCCGGAAATATCGGAATGAAGGCTTCAATATTTGAGGCTGTCCATGGAACGGCTCCGGATATTGCGGGCAAAGGTAAATTCAATCTTGTGAACCTATTATTTATTACAAGATCTAAAGAATTTATTGCAGTATCTAAATAATTTCCTTAAACCACAAATTTAAGATTTGGCCAATCCAACCGCTCTTCTTTTATCGTCGATAATGATGTTACGCCACATGCGACTTAACACATATGCTGAAGATATTGAGGCGGCAGTATTGAAAACGATAGCAGATGGCAAACACCTCACCCGCGATCTCGGTGGTACCGCTTCCAATACAGAATTTACAAATCAGATTATAAGCAAGCTGACATTGATATAAAAATTAATTTATATAGTTATATTAATTAATATTTATTATATTTAATTGCATTCTTGTGGTGAATAATAAATTTTTCGGAATGGAGAATTTTTGTTCCACAATGTTCGGAAAGAGATGACGCAGATCTACCCCGTATAGTACTAGACAGATATGAACACAATCCAAAAATGTACAATGGCCTTGAGACTACCTTTTCTTACAAGGCTTAGAGAAACCCGCGAGAAAGTTGTTTATTCTTGAACGTGTGTAGTACTATGTCCATGCAGAGATTACGCCCTACAAGTCTTTAAAATTGCCTAGAGAAATTGGGATGTCTTGATCTTTGTTTCTTCAAATATCAACCAATTTATCACAAATTTGTGAATGGCCCAAGCTTGCTTACGAGATCGATCATGCGTGACTGATTTTTCTGGTCCAGCCAATACAATCGTTCCTTACAATCAGAATATCGCAAAAACACAAGACTTTACACCAGAAACGGAACCAGACTCTCCCAAAGATTCTCCAATTTCTTCAATTTCTTACCAGGATTTTTTTCGAAAACTTTTAACCCTCAAAATGGTGTGCTTTCATTATTTTTTGTGGGTCTATGCTTTTAAAAGCGAGAGCAGTACTAAAACAAACATTAGTAAAATATTGGCTTTAAATTCGATGAAAAACAAAAAGATGCAATATGATTCAAATTGGAATTCCTCGAAAAACACTTCTTTTACTTTATAACAGGGAGACCAACTTGATTGCGCGTTGGATCTTATGAGAAGACTGTCTCCTCAAAAAATGGAGGACAATCTCTCTAAACTCGTTAATCTTGTGCCGAATCTCCAAGATGATATACTTAATGCTGTCGATCAGCCTTTGAAAGTCAAACAATGCAAGAAAACAGGTCGAGATTACTTGGTATCAGAATATAATAGGGATGGAGATTCGACTCGGTAAATTTCAAGGGACTCAAATATGATAAATACTTGGTTTTAAAAAAGTTTTCCTAAAACATTTATATGACAAGCATTATATATCTACTAAGTAAAAAGAAAAACTATTTTCAAATTAATAAGAATAAATTTTCGTTCTTAATTTTCCTAGATCTCCGTGGTCAAATGAATATGATCCACCTTATCCAGACGGTGTTGTAACTTCAGGCAAAGTGAGACTCTTAGAAGAAGCTGCCAATGAAGCATTTAACACTTACCGCGAAATGTATGTTGTGGGAGAATCTTTTCTATAATACTCTATCGATTTGAACTATCATTCATTTCTTATTTTTAAATAGGTATTATGAGGGTGGATATTCATCTGTATATTTGTGGCAAAAAGGAAATGATGGGTTTGCGGGTGCTGTGCTTTTCAAAAAAGGTTAGATTTTAATTTACAATATATATGTTTTTACAGTTTATGCTGATAATTTCATTTTTGTATTTTAGTCGATGAAGGGGGTGATAAACGAAAAACCAAGGGAGCTTGGGACTCGGTTCATGTATTTAGTGCGGGAGAGAGAGGTCGCAATGCACATTATAAACTGACATCGACTGTAATGTTATATACAATCACCACGAAACCTGAGCTTGGTGATATGAACTTGTCTGGAAATATGACGCGTGAGGTAAATTTATTTTTGTATTTTCACACGAAATGACTTTCAGAATCTTTAATAATAATAGTAAATATTGTATTTTTTAGTTTGATGTTGACTATCCATTTGAAGATCAACAAGCTCATATTGCCAATATTGGGCGTATAATAGAAGATATGGAGTTAAAGATGCGAAATTTGCTTCAAGAAGTATATTTCAATAAAACAAAGGATATTGTCAATGATTTGCGTTCTATCGATTCTCTTATTGAAGCTAACAAGCAAGCGGAGGCTCGGAGGGAACTTGTGGAAAAAATTTTTGAAGCTAACAGAGAAGCAGGGAAGGAAGAGAACCGATTTGTGGAAAAAATGCTAAATATATCCTCATGAACATATAGAAATTTTTTAATCTCTATTTAAATACAGAAGAACTTGTTTTTTATGTTAAGTTTATATAATAAATGACTTTTTTTATACAAATAGCAAAGTATTGTCCCGTGTTGAAAATCGATTTAAAAGTCATGGTCACTATTACCATTCTTTATCTCAAAAATGGTAAAGACCAAAAACTAGTGATTTCATCACGACTCTTTAAATGTGACAATTTCAGATGCAAATCAAAGAGAAAAAATAAAATAAATAACAATATTAGATAATTTTAATATCGATTTGTTAACATATAGATATCTATCCAAATTTTGAGTCTAAAATTATATCAAAAGAAAAAACGCGCATCTTTTTATAAAGTACAAATAAAAAATCCCAATAACCCAAAAATAAAATACAAATGAAAGATGAGAGATGAACAAAAAAGATCTTAAAAATAACGAAAATCTACATGACCCTATAATTTCTTACCTGTCAAAAGTCAGAGTGAGCGAGGTAAATAAAAGCAAAATTAGCATATACGTATTTAATATTTAGGAAGGAAACTGTAAACTTGTGATAACAAAGAAATAAAAATCATAATTATATCAACTATAAAAAAAAACAAAAATATTTGTACAATTTATCTCATTCTTGATATAAACATCATCGCTATTATACCTATCGATAAAAATAGATTCAATTAGAGGTTTGAGTAATGCATACAAAAAGCAATTTATAATAAACTCACATTTTTCTCCTTTCCCTTACTCTTTCCTATAACACGGTCAATTGTACCATGTTTAGAAGAATCTTGTATGTGGGTTCTTATCTCACGGTCAATTGTACCATGTTTAGAAGAATCTTGTATGTGGGTTCTTATCTCACCAAGTTTTTCTGTTTGACAAACAGTACACCTTGTTTCCGGAGGTTCATTTTCAGAGTCACCGCCAGTATATTCGGTTTCGAGACATCTTCGGTGGTATCCGTGGCCACATCGGAACAATAGCAGATCATTTTCTTGAGTAACCGCCGTGGTATTCACTGCTATTGTTTCTTCTATAGTGGTCGTCATGGTTGTGGATGCTTCGTTAGAGATTTCAGACCGTTCAGGGTCATCCTCCGCAGCCGCAGCCTCTAAATTTGGAATGAGATCTGCAATAGTTGCATTGGTTGATATATGGGATGAATGGGGCATTTTCTTTTCGGCTGAACCCCAACCAGATGTTGTACGGAGGGTCAGTGGGGTTAGATCCGTTCCCCAGAACTGACCCCCACACACCTCACAAGTCCCCCTTCGAGGACGCCATCCTTTACCACGTTGTCGTACAACACCTGCTACACCCCCGAACAAGTCCTTTTCAAATAGTCGGTTGGTCATAGCTAGCAACTGACCTTCATATTTGTATGTATCAATCATGCCAACGAAAATTTCCCGAAAGTCTGCAACTGTACTATTCTTTCTCTTTGATTGTGACTGAATGAACCGTAAGAGGAGCCGCGGCAAAGAAACAGACGAGGAAGTCGACAAGAGCAATGACCTCATAATACTCTGTACGTAAGATTTAAATGTGGTCATAAGGTGATTCGCAATGTGAGGTGGCACAGGTAATCGTGGCATCCCAAATGAAGAAACCTGTCCATTAGCCATTAGTCTATCGTGCAATAAAGGTGGGAACTGTGTTGATGAACTTGAAGAAACTGCTTTGGTGGCATCTAAAAATGCATCAAGAAGCTTGAACCAAAGTAGTTCAGTCTCACTTTCATTTGCACGATTGGGTAAAGGTAGAATTGGAGATGAACTAGCCTCACCGACGCCACTGGCCAAAGTGGCACGTCGACAGCTGTTCTCGCATAACATAATTCCTATTTTGAGAACACCTTTTAATTTCATTAAAGATTGTTCTACTTTATTTTTTTCGTTCATTGTCCATCGATCATTTTTTGAATTTTTCTTGTCCTCAACCAATTGAAGAATATCTTCTTTTTTTTCTTGGACAATATTTAATACTTTATCAAGAGCACCTACAGCATCACCACTTCTTTCCAATATCCATACAACCGAGTCTACAATACCAGCGGCTTCGCATATAGGAAGTACTTTTTCAAGTCGATAGGTATTATCTTGATGAGTTTGTAAATAATGATAAACCCCGGTTGGATCGAATTTACACATTAAAGCGATGTATTTTTCATGTATTTCTGAGCCAATTTCAAGCGGCTCGGGTTTGGATTCAGTAGCACAATTAATTTGATCATCAACGGTCTGTAAATCATTTTGATTGTCGTCTGTTAATGTGTCGTCTTGTTGTGGCTCAAGAAGCCCTCTTAGATAGGTGAATAAACGTACAGGCGATGATTCCAAATTTTCTATTACTGTTTGATGGTCACCGTCAAAGTAAGCATGAATTAATTGAGCAGTACGTTCGCCATCGATATCAACAATATCGTCAATCATCGACATAACTGTGGCAGAAACTTCTTCGCGTTGAGATGAAGTGAGTCCATTTTGAGGATTCAATAGAGCTCGAATGCAATCGAACACTTCTTTTTTTCGATCTGCATCTTTTAAATAAGTTGTAACCAGCAAACCGTATTTTTTATCCGCCTTATATACATGCTCTAGAACTCTCCAAAAACCCGCATTCTCATAAAGGACGACCATTTGATCTTCATCCTCGGGCGTATAAATCGAAAGCAAACATTCAACTGCAAACTGACGCTCTTCACGTGTACGAGGATCATTGTCCATGCTGAGTTTGACCAATATTTTCTTAATAGTCGAAGGTGGTAATAGAAGAAATTGTGTGTATTTAGGCAAATTTCTTGCCACAAAACAATATAAATAAGAAATGTCTGATGTAGTGAACTCTGAATGCTCTGGAGGTGTTGTAGTCATTACTTCAAGTAATATATTGACTAGTAATTGTCGATTAATTATTTTTCCCGGCAATTCTTCTTCTTCGTAATATTCATCATTACTCGTAATTATCTCAACTCCGTTTAGATATGAATCTTCAAATGCACATTCCAAGGCTTGTAGAAATGCCTGGGTATCAAATCGAAGGAAAAGTCGTAAATAAGGATATGTTGGTTCTGCGCCATGAAATTTATCTTCCGCAGTCAATACGAGATCTCCGCCATGTCTGGGCCAAACTACGCATCGCCCCGAGAATACAAAAGAGTATAATGTGGTGCGAGCTTCATTTGCCTCAATATCGTTTAGCGGGGCACCGTTTGGATATGTACGACCAATAAGAATGTTCTTTAAATAGACATAGAATTTACGAGCATTCGCTTTCATAGTTTCTAAATCTTCTGTTTCTAAGACATTGCTATCGGAGACACCGATTGAAAGACGAAGCTTTCGACGTTTACGTTTCTCTAAACCTAATATTTTTTGAATTAACATCAAGAGTTCCACAGCAGGACTCACATAATCAACCATAGAACGGTTAAATACGTATATATAAGCGTCGTATAATCCCTCGCTAGTGCAAAGTTGCACAACTTGGTCAATGTCTAAGCATTGTGGATTAATATGAAATATACATTCTTCCACACGAGTGAGCAAACGTCGGTTACGATAATGAGAAACAAGATCCTTCATAATTTCCGGCGGCAAATCTCTTATTTTATCTTGTATGATATATGGTTCGAGAACCTCGAGTAATATACCAGTTTCTTTGGCCTTAACATATCGTTCATATACTTCGGTAAAAAGAAATTCTTCTTTATGCATACTAAGACAGGCTTTGACACATTTTATAGCCAAATCCTGCTCATTAATCACGCCCTGAAATGCTCTATCAGTTGAGAATGCGTAATTTAAAGAAGAGATCAAAAGTTCCATAAGTTTTTCCCCCACAATTGCATGTCGACTTTCCTCTTCATCAGGTAATCCCAATATTGTTTGGGAAGATGTTCCATTATAGAACTTAGTAGCAAGTTCTATAGCTTGAAGTAAGTCACCCGATGTAAAATGGGCCAAGATACGATCTGCCCAAGACAGTAATGTGCCAGCGAATAATTGCCGCACTCCCTTATTTGGCATCGAATAGATTTAGATTAACTGAATATTATTATAGCAAAAATATTTGGATGCTAAATAATTTAATGAAAACTTACCAATAAAAACACTACGCCCTTATGTACTCGAATACTATGATAATAGCCTAAATCTACAGTCAATTTATTTTCATTAGATATATTTGAAACTTCAGGCATATCTTTTAAGGGAGCTGCAAACCGATCATGATATACTAATGATTTTCGTCTTATATTATTGTGCTCGCTTTTTTCCATCGTTTTTTCCATAGTTTTTGGATCAAATACAATTATATCTTCGGTATTTGTGAGGATCAATAAAACCTACAAATACAAATTTCCTTAAAGTTATTTGTTTTGGTTAAATAAGCATGCGACTCGCAGACACTCACATGAGGTGATAACCATTGTAGGGCGACTATGCTATTTTTATTTTTCCATTCTCCAATTTTTGTGAATTCTAAACGAACTTCACGATCTTGTCGACGACGCTTTGTTGCAGTTTCAATTTGAGTTACTGTTACCTTAATTATTGTCAAATGATTTCCCCACGAGAAGGCAAGAAGTGGATCTGTATCCACAGAAGTTGACTCTACTGCGACATAAGCAATCATCAATAGGAACTATGCACAGAATGAAAAATTAACTATAAAGATAATACAATAATTATAATACCTGCATTTGTTTTGTCTTTCATTGCGGGATACCATGCAAGGCAGCCTGATATCGATTTCGTCGATTCAGAAGGATGGTATCTCGGTTTAAGACACTTATGTTGTGTTTGTATAGTGGGCTTAGTGCTGACAATCGTCATCTAAAAATCGCGAAATGATTTAGAGAATTTACTGTGCATCCATCAAGTTAGAATTTCATTCAAGAATTTGATTACTTTATGTGGAGTCAACATAGCCACAAGACCGAATCCTTCAGATCCATGTGGAGACTGTCCTAATGGTAAAGGTGCTAGGCCAAAAACAGTACTTGGACGGGGCGGCTTTGATACTATGGAAGTTTCTGGTTCGGAAGTAGAAGCGGGATAACGTCCAAGTATGCGGATAGTTTCAGACGCATTTACCATCATCACTTTATATATATTATGATAAAAAACCATGCCCTAAGATCCTCATAAAAAAAAGAAAGCAAATAGTGTTATTAATTTAAAAAAGTAAGTAAGGTAAATATTATATAAGACAAAATATATATAATATATTGTTGATACATACATGATCATCACCAGAAACTATTCCATTTTTTCGAATTCCCACGAAATCTACATGCAAAATTGAGGATCCTCGAATATGTCCATCCTTTCGACCACCAGCAGCAACTGCGGCTGAAATTGGTAACATTGATCTTGTGGGATTATTTGGTCGAGAAATATCCCATATAAAAATATGTCCTTGTGCATGTCCACTTACAATCTGTGCGTGATCTATTGATATACATAACGAAGTTACAGCGCCATGCTCCAGAGCTTTTTGATATTTAAATTATTTCACAGGTAAGTTTATCTGACTTCATCAAGATAATAAGAATATGGCAATAACAAATAATTTACAAGAAATAATACCATTTGCAGTAGTTCCAAGAATACATTTTAAAGTTTGTTCTCTCTCATATACTAAGATTAAGCCACGTGTAGTACCCACAGCTATTACTCCGCTTACCTGTAAATATATGATGGCTTAGTAAATTTATACAGTCAGAAAAGTGTCAATTTTATAATTTTAGCTTACCGCTAAGACTGTGGGAAGTCCATAATTTTGGCTAAAATTAGAAGAATAAAGTTGATCAGAGATTGAGTCTAAGGGTATCCATCGAAATGCTTCCCAAGGTTCTGGTGGAGCAGATAATCCTATATCCTCAAAACCCAATATAGAAGGTGTCGTCGGACGTGAGTGTCTAGATGAAGCAGCCCGTGATTGCATTGATGTGATTGAATTGGAAGATGCAGAACGAAGCCGCGCAAGACTGGGATCAACAGCTTTAAAAGAAGGCGGAGACATAGGTGTAGTTAAAGTGCTTGTTGTTGATCTGCGTGATATATCTGATTGTGAGTCCTAAAAATATTATATGCTAGTATGAATTTTCATGTCTCATAGTCCGAAAAAATATAAAAAAGTGGATACCTCAAAGCAAACTCCTCCTGATTCTGTATCTTGAGTTTCGGAATCTATGAATTCATCTTCACTTGTTTCATCTGATTCGTTTAATATTTGATCTAGGTTTAAGTGTTGTGCTGTTGGAAATATTTGATATTTTATTAATTAGTATGCCATGGAAGAATCTGCTATTAATAGTCATAATTAAATACCTCTATTTGAAAATTCCTCATACAAAGCAGCCTCTTTCATAACTTTGTCGAGAAGATCTTGAACTTTTCTGCGACGCTGAGCTCCAAGCGTTGATGGCTCAGCTAAAGGCCCACCTTGTAAATGAATTTGAAGATCTTCTTGAAGTTGATATAATTCTGTAAGTACGGCCTTAATTGTGCTTTCTGCTGTAATTGGGAGATCCAGCTCGGGAATTCTCAGAGAGTCAAAACAACTTTCTATATCTACAAGAGATGAAACTCCATTGACTAATAATTTTATGTAAATAGATAATTTAGTCATAAGACGAATAAGTAAAACAATTATCGATTTGGTTTGGAATATTGGCATACCAAGGCGTGATATCGAACCCTCCGCTATTCTCGGTGGCGAATGTGACTCTTGTGTTTCAGTTGTAGGGGTTGAAGGTTCGTCATTGCTATTTTTATAAAGAAATCAGTAAATGTGAAAAGTATAAAGGAAATAATTTAGAAGTTGATTTGCTGTTGTTATTCTTGTAAATTCCACAATTGCTCCAAAGAGGACAGCTTTCTGATTTATTGAATGAGATAAATTAAATCCTAACCTTCCATCTGTATCATCTTCGTCATCGCCGCTATTCGCCGGTGGCATTCCATTACCGTCATGCAATAGTTCAAGAGCCCTTTTCATGGCATCAGTTAATCCAGCTGCCTTCCAAGCTTCCATTTTTTTTCTTAAATTGTTCACATATTGTTCTGTTTGGACTTTATCCTCCAATGCAGCTTCTAATTCAGGAGGAAACTGCCCATCAGAGACACCACCATTCGATATAATAGGGAAATTCTTCAAAAAGTCATCGTCTGTGTCAGAGTCCAATATTTGTTTTAGAAAAAGGTCGTAAGTGTCTGTTTGAATCTTAGTAGTTGTCATAGAGAGGACCTTTCAGTACGAGCGGAGGCGAATTTGATAAAGTTGAAGTCGCCGAATTTTTTGTTTTTGGTGGTTGAATACTCCTATACGCCAAAATGCAAATCACTTGATCCCATGTACATAGGAAACAACGTGAACCAGAACCAGAAACACGGATCAATCTCCAAAAATTTGGCTTGAATGTATTCTCACGAGAGAAAATCAGTGATTTCGCAACAATCTAAACGTTTGTGAATGCAACATTTTGTGTCACTACTAAATTTATAAATATGCGCACAGAAACAGGGATTTTACAAGGACAAAGGCATTTTTATTGTGAAAAAGTTTTCCAACAATATAAGGAGCTGATATTATATTATAATAGCTGTTGTTTAGATGCAAATCTAGCAATATTGGATTTAATTGCCGCTAGATTACTCCTAACTATAATATTAAAAAAGGACCATATTTTATCTACAAAGGGTAGTTCGATGAAGGAAAAATACTGCGGAAGGAGTAAAGATAGTAAATAATTATTTCATCATCTCCCGTGAACCAAAAAATCAAAGATTTTAGTAGATTTATATTTATTCGATAAAAAAATAAAAACTGAAGAGATATATTATTATTATTATTATTGCTCACCAAATTAATGATTCCAATTCAATTATGCTCTTAACGTTTTTATATCAATAAACTCTACAAAGAAGCTCTCCGCCTGATCTAAGAACAATAGCTTCACGTATTTCCATTACCCCAAAATTTGTACTCACAATCGCGATTTCACCTGGTTGCAATGGTGCAATGAATTTTGCACGTCGACCACGACATAAAGATGCGAATTCTCCGAGGTTCATCCACACTTTTCTTGAACCTTTACTAACAACACGCATTTTAGTAAGAACTGGTTTATTATCCCTGTATTTGAGATCGAGCCATAAACGACGTGTTGCTATATTTTCCGGAGTTGTGGGTGTATATGTGGTGTCGGGTTGAATATGGTTACCACGGGTTACTGATGATATAAACCCTTCGTTGTAAAGCACCTGGCTGATAGCAAGATTCATCTTTGTACAAGGTACAGCTATACTTTTTAGACGCGCCAAAAATCCATTTTGAATACGTGCGCATATATCGTGAACTGGTGCCATTGCAATTTAACTGATTCCTCCACATTTACCCGTAATTTTTAAAATAACAGGCCGCGTGGCTAAACACTACATTGAACAATGATCACCGAAAATTATTTGACATTTCCTTTTTGGGTATGAAATGTACTACAGAGACATCTGAAATTTAAAACTTTATCTTGATGTGATGCAAGATTAAAGATTTTTTCGCAATCTAGAAATCTAGAACGTTAACGTTAAATTATTGATTGGCCTTTGTTCTTGTTACTCTTGTCTCGCCTATTGTTCGGTTTTTTCAACTTCTACTTCAGCTTCTACTATAGTCTCATTTCACTGTCTTTATAGTTGAATTTTTTAACCAAAAGAAAATCTCTGCGTAAGTCTACATCTCAGTTTGCATGCGACCTACTCTCGGAATTATTTACTGATTTTCCGATATTATTTAGCTTTTGTCCAAATCGACCGGTTCATTATCAATGAAATTTTTCGAAACTTCACACATTTTTCGCTACCCGTGGTCACATGTTTCAGCTGCTAACTGGCGTAAATACCCAAATGACAATTGTCCGCATGTCATAGCTGTTGACGTTCTAGATAGACATGTTGACCCAATAACAGGTATTCTTCGAACCGAACGCTTAATAACATGCCAACAGAACATTCCAAAATGGATTTTATCACTGTGCGGTGGCTCAACTGTGAGTTATGCTCGAGAAATCAGTGAAATTGATCCCAGCAATAAAGTGCTTCGGATGACTAGTTATAATCTATCTATGAATCATTTGGTTAATATTTCTGAGACTGTCACCTATACCGAAGATCCAGTAGATTCATCAAAGTGAGTGAAATGTCATGATAAAACTATAAAGGAAACCATTAATTAATATTGATTTATTATAATAGGACACTGTTTCAACAAGAAGCTCGAATAAAATGTGGTGAATCAATCTCAAAATTCGCTAATTATCTCGAAGACTTTTTCATTGCTCGTTTTCGAGATAACGCAGCTAAAGGGCGACAAGGATTCGAGAATGTATTGGATCGATTATTAGGACAAGGGGAAATTGCCTAATTATAAGTGGGTGAAATCAGAACTAATGACGAACATTATTTACATTTGTTGTAAATATTATCTATGTGGTATATCCCTATACCACATAAAAATTACTCTTTTTATAATAATCATTTTTGGAAAATAATTCACTTTCTTAAAAAAAAAGGTATTTGCATCTTGCATTTCGCATTTTAAATAGATTATCTATTTTAATACCCTAATTAGATTTCCCTAATAAAAAAATTTTGCTTTCTTAATTCTTTAATTCCTGAAAGTTTTAAATAAAATTAACCAAACATCAGATCGCTTAATCTAGAATATCAATAAATTCGACAAAATTTTTGCATACTTGATATATTATTATTTGCTATTTTATGTACAATATTCTAACCTTGGTCATTTATTTTATTGGTGCTTGTACAATCACGGTATATGCTAATACATTAGGCCAATATAAACAACAAACAAATGGAACTATATAGTTACCCAACAATTGATATTCCATCAAAGTAGATCTCAAAAAGTTACCCATATCTACGCCAGACAATAAAAGAAGTCCAGGCGGGGAGATTAAACATAATACAAATAACTGAAGATAACGAATTGTTTTTGATACATGTGGACGAAATAAGGAAAAGGGTATGATCACGATTAATGCGGTAAAAACGGCTAAACTGAAATTCAGCACGGAAAGACACGAAATTATCATTCCGGTAAATGCAAGTGTAAAACATTTCAAAATAATCCAATCGGCGGCTGGTTCAAGTTGCTGCTGTGGTTGGTATTGAGAATTCATGTCGTTCGTTTTTTCAATTCTATGCGCAATTTGATTATTAGTTGTGATGCGCTTTTCCATAATAGAGACCAAGACGAACGAGACTTTTATTGAAATAAATATAATCAAGGCCAAAACTAAGAAATGATCCTACAAAGAAACTAAATAGAATTAGGGAATGAATTGAGATGAATAGTAAATATCAGATAAAATATTCACCTGAATAAACAAAAAACTAGCTAATTTATTGAGAAGGAAATAATTCTTAATCATAAAAAAAAATATGATGCCGGTAGCATGGGTCGCAATCAATGCAGTCAAAGAGAACAAAATTCGACGTGGTCTTCTATTGAATGGTGAAGGAGTCGGAAATTTCTGTAGTATCTTTGGCTCTTTGGAAGATTGAGGGTGCTCATTAGAAAGAACCAAAGTGGCATCGTCGCCAGTTGAGCCCCACAATGCCAGAGCGTAGAATAAGATAATAGTTAAAAATAAAATAAAGAGGCGGAATGTAAAGTGAAAAGTTTCAAGTATTAAAAAAAGGATATATGTAGAATTAATCCAACCGCGAGCAGGATGGAAGGTGGCAAATAAGAACCGATTGAAATATATTTCTCAGGTGAAGGTAAAAGATAGAAAAAGAAAGACTGATGAAGATGTTCAAGTAAATTATTCAAACTTCTAAACGTTGACTCGATTGCACTATATTCAAAATAAAACAAAAAATTAATTCACAGAGATCGAGTAAAATCCATAATGCCAAACTAAGAAATTTAACGTACGTTCCAATTTCTAGAAACATGAATGGTTGGTGAGACGCTTCCATCCTATGACCATAGAGAGTGACAGCGTCGATTTTATATCTAATATAAAGATGATATCAGTATTCATTTTTAATTATTATTTCTTTAAGCTTTTATTCTAACCTGAAAAATAATCCATGACCTCCCGTTGAATGTCCTAACGCTTGATATTTCATTGTCAAAATCAAGTTGTATAGAGAAGAGTAATAATCACCATGATCATTCGCCCAATATACGTGACCAGTATCATGCAGCGTGATTGGGATTCGACCTGAAATACGAACTATTCGAACTATGGTATTTATTAAATCAAGATTTGGAAGTTGTCCATTAACACCCTCTAGAAGAAGGAAATAGTGAAAAAAAATTAACTCGTGCATTATTTGGAAAAATGATGCAAAAATAATAAAATAGACATTAACCATAAAATATTCCTAAAACTTGATAATCTTTTGTCCCGGGTAAATCTAAATTAACTGCAGCTTGAATTGCACCCGAGCGTAAAAATAAAGGACTCGACAAGATATCTTTGAATATAAAAAAAATGAATGAGTTTTTTCAGAAATTACAAAAGCTAATTGAAATTTTTACCTGAACGTGGATTATCATGATACGCTTCTAACCAGGCTTGAACACCAGCTTCGCCCCCATCCGTTATTAAGATTATAATATCTTTTGACCAATATGTATATTCTCACAAAGTTGTCAAAGACTATAGTCAAAATCAATAATGCAAAAATAAAGGAACAAGCAAATAATATAGTGGCCATAAAAATCTAATTGAAATAATGAATTTTTCAGTGAACCTGTACTTTGGAAAAATTTCCCAATTGACAAAATTGCGGCGACACCATTAATATTAACTGAATAAAATATAAAATTTTAAATTAATCAATTGAAAATGGTCATTTGAATCAAGAATGAATGAATCCATACCAGTTTTCCCGTCCTTTGAAATCCAAGGTGCGCTCAAAACTAGAGCTTCTGTCCCATCACCACGAGGAGCACTGAGTACACCAAAAACATTGACTCCACTTATTTCCTAGTAAATTAAGATAATGAATGATGAGATAAGCGAAAAAATGCCGAATAAAAATAAAATTGATTACTACCTTTCCTAAGGCATTAACAGTAAAATTTTGGGTCCCTGTTTTTATTCCTGCTTTACGCAATTCACTTTCAATATAAGCAGTTCTCCTATAATGTTAAAATTCAATGATCGGATATATGTTGTGTTAATGGAAATGTCACATTATATAACAAAAAAGTACGTACTCTATGCTGGAGGTTGATAGAGTTTCAATGTTGTCGCGATAGACACTAGCTTCGTGCACCTGTGGCCAGCTATAATACGTATTAACCTAATGCAAAAATTTGATGAAATTGGTGATTTGAACGAAAACGCGTATTTGAGATATTGTTGGGTAGCTTTTGACTTACCTGTCCCGGAAGAAGTGCGTTTTCTGAAATATAAGTATATTTGTTATATTCGTTTGAAGGAAGAATAAAAAGCCAGCCAACTCCGATAGCAAATAATAGGTAACTAAATTGAAAGTATCGATCTCAATAAAATCTATCTTGAGAACAAAAACCTAAAGAATTAAATCAAACAAGTTTACCGAAGATGGGGTATCCACAGCTTTAAAGTTCGCAGCAACACTCGACGCCTTTGGAGACGAGCTCGTGTTGCTGAAATGTTCTCTGATGTACTCATAGAAATTGTTACAACTTATTTTAGCGTTCTTTCCCACGATAAAAAAAAATAAATTGACTAGCCAATCATTTGACGCGAAAAAAAACTTGAATACCAATCATCAAGTAGATTTCTTTCCTCTTTAAATATGGAACATTTACGCAAACTTCCCTCAAAAGATGCAAATGCCTTTTCGCGTTTTGTACCCCGAGAAACAGCAATCACACCAAAGTTCATAACTTTCTTGCCAACAGAAAGTACCCTACCGAAGTCTCGGGACCAAAGTAAGTCGTCAAAGAGATAAAGTATTGATACACGTATTTACAAAAGGAGGTTAGCGTTTTTGTTTTAATTATTGAATACAAAGCAAAAATTACAAATGCACTATGCTTAAATATTAATATTGTCATTACATGCCATATTATTATTTATAAAGTCATCAATGTCTCAAGAACCGATGTCTTCTTTCGGTATACTCATAAAGGAAATAATAGTCGAGTGAGATATAAAATATTTCTGCTTTTTTCAAATTTAGTTATTTAATTTACTCAAAGATTTCTCTTTCTCCTCAGTTTTCAATGCAAAAACTAGTAACTGCTTCTCCAACTGGTTCCTTTTTCGAATTTCATCATGATGCTTCATCTTCGTCTCCAGTATCATCTGCTTCAAATTCAAGATCACCTTCACCAACATCCTATAGCAAAAGTAATAATAACAATAGTAAATCAAAGGGGAAAACAAAAAATTTGAAAAGAAAGAAAAAACTCGGAATTCTTGATTCTGATTTGTCTTCTACCGAGGAAAATGAAATATTTAAAGAGGGCATCGAAGATACTGATAAAGCCTGGGACGCATTCAATAGTGTTCTTAAGGGAAATGATGCTCTTACAAAAACTGGGAAAAAGAAAAGAAAGGGAAAAGTCTCCAACAATAAAATGCGTGGAGGTCACGCATCTGATTAATTGTTGCAACATTTATAATGTTTCGAAGATACTCGACACTATTGATACCAGAAATTATATAGTACTTCGTTTTTATTTTACATTTGGTTACTAGGATTAAGTGAAAAATAAGATAATCTTTACATGTTTTGTAATTTAATACAATAAAAATTACAAGCAAAAGGTATATATGTATTAAAAATTTATATATACAAAAAAATAATTGAAGTTTAAAGAATGATTGTAATAGAATATCTTAAAATCTAGTGTAATAGAAGAAATTTTAATAGAATACGATGATAGTAAATGAGACAACTTATACAAATTTTGTTAAGCAAACAATCGCAGAAAAATTTTTCTTTTTTGAAAATGCTCGATTTCCTTCGGAAAAAGTAATTATGACAAATAATGTTTTTGGTTTCTATAGGAGCCAAACCTCCGTCAGAATCACCGCTCGTCTCCATGCGCATGTTTTTCTAATTCACTCTTTGAAGAAAATCTATCATTTCTCCCACCAATGTTGTTATTGTTATTGTTGCTAACACTAGCGGAATTCTTATCAATGTCTATTGTGTCCAGACGTCTTGATGAAAGAGAATTATCGAATCCAAAAGTGCTTGTGGAATTATTGTTATTATTAGTAGCAATATGTGCTGGCGTGTTATTTGCATTATTGGCATTCAAGGATCCACGAATTTGTGTTGTTGATCCTATTTTTAAAATTAATCAAAATTGAATAATCGGGATCGAAGAAGAAACAAAAAGGGAATAGAATAGTGACTAACCGGTAGGTGTACCGGTTGCAACAGAACGATCGCTCAGGCTCAAAGGGTTTAATGAAGGTATTGGGATTGATTGACGTCTTGAAGTTGGAATTAATGTGTTGCTATATGGAGTAGGTGATATATTTGCTTCTGGGTTTACGGGAAAAGTCTCACCTTGAAAACCCTGACGATTTGCAGTATCAAAAGGATTACTAGTTCCATATTCTATTGTGCCTTGTTTGGATCCCACTTGTCGACTGGGCGTTTCATTTTGTTGTTGTGGATCCGACCCAGATGGCGACAAATTCGTAGCGGATGATTCTTCATTATGTTTTACAGGAGTTTCGGAAGAAAGTTGTGGTGATAATGAAGTCTTTTTGGATGGACTTTTATGTGTGTTTGTAGTATTTTTTGTAGGAGTGTGGAAGAGATAGGGGGAAGAATATTCAGGAGGAATTGAATACGGAGATTCGTAAGGCATTCGCGGAGGATATTGTGGTGAATAATCTGACATACGGGGTGGAGCATAATGTGGATGAACAAAACTAGTTGGCCCATATGATCGTGGCGAAGATTTACTACTAGTAATAAGACTACGTTCATTATTTTGAGAGTTATTTTCCGAGGATTCAATTAAATTCTGTATCGGTATTTTCGCTGGCATTGGACCACCCGAAGGAACACCAAAATTATGATCACTTGATTGATTTCCATATTCCGTTTTAGTAGGTGAACCATGAGGTGGTATTGAAAGAGGTAATGGCGGTAAATAAGGTGGACCATAATATTCTGGATGATATGGGTACATTGCAGGTACTGGACGAGGCGTTAAAGGTCCAGCAGCCCGAAAATGAGGTAACGTTGAATCTTCTTTTGACGAAGGTCGTTCACCATAATGTGCCCAAGGACCTGGAACACGTGGGTAACCAGGGTATGGATTTGTTGCATCATATGGATAAGGTGATTTACTACTATTCTGTGAATCGGATGTTGAATGTTGCATCCTCGATGAATCATAATAACTCGGATACATTGGTGGCCTTGCGTAAAGATGGGGAGGATACGGATAACGATGATGTTCAGAACCTTCAGTTATTGGAGGAATTGGGGGATAATATGCATACGGACTATACATATAATGCCTGTCATATGGATCATAATAGGGTGGATAATGTGGTGGCGGGTGTTCTCCCATATCATGCCAAGGATGAGGTCTTCCATAACTTCCATACATGGCGGCTGCCGGATCATATGGATGAGGTGGTGGTATATGATCGTAAGGACCACGCGTTCGAGGAGAAGAAGGACTATTATGACTTAATGGTTCTTTTATTTTCTTTTCATTAGACAGTGAAGTGTCTGTGCTGATTTTTGATTGACTACCTTCTGGGCTTTGATGTTCCTGCATTTCTTCATCCGTCGACTCGGTATCTTCTCCTTCGTTTTCACCCTCACCACGAGGTCTTTTTGCTTGGCTACTTTCGGCACTCTCTGCTGGCTCTATTTCTTTTCTCTTTTGAATTCTTCTAATTCGATTTTTTTATTTGAAACAATAAATTTTTTATCAAAAGAATATGCAAATAACATCAGATCCATGAAGTACCACACCTGCGAATTCTAATTTCTTTACGTATCCGGATTTTCAAGCCTTGATCGGCGAAAGAACGTGATAAAAATGTTGATTCTTGAAATAATTGCAAAAATAACAAATGATTAGAAATGTCGAAAAATATCATAAGCAGATCAAATCAAATATTTTTGGAAATGATAACTTACCTTCCATACCGGGAAATCTTTTGGCCGAGTATACAATGAAAATCTCAGAAAGTATCGATTTACAATGAAACACTTCTCGCCTGGTGGAGGTGCCGTGACTAATGTCAGCAAAGCCAATATATAAAAACACCAGATAAACAGAAGAAATAGAATCGTGGTTAATTAAACACTATACATACCCAATTATCTCGAATAGACTTAATTTCAGTCGATATGTTCCTTCCATGCGTACCGACAAATCAGGAAACACAAAAAAACCCGCATCCGAATTATCGATATCTTTTAGATGGTAAAGAGACGAAACCACTGAGCCAGTAGTAGAACGAGTTTTCCCATCACGAAGTAAATGTAATTCTTCCTCGGTATCGGGGGCCACCAGCGAAGCGTACATAAAAAAGTATGGATTCTGGAGAAATGAATTACTAAAAGTTTATGGAATTAAATATTTAGCGAGTAAGATCGAGATTACGAATTAACTATATTTATATATAGCTTGATTGATGCACGAAATTGATTCAATACCTTTTTTCTGTTTGTGATATACTGCCATCATATACTTTAAGCTGAATTATTGGAGGAGGATCGATTGGTCTTCTATCAGCTTTGGAATGACCAGTAATGATTTGTATTTAAATATTGAAAATAAAGAAAATAAATTACAATATTTTAGAGAGAATTGCTTTTTTGTATTTTCCTTTTTCTTATGGGATGGGGATTATTATTATTATTATTATTATTGTGAATGTGAACTCGATGATTCTCTTTTTTAATTGATAAACAATTTTTTTAAAAGCGAATTAAAAAAAAGTATTAATCAATTATTATTATTATCGTGGTGATACGAAAAAGAAATAAACGCAATAACAAATAAACAAAAAATAAATATTATTACTTGCTAATAATTAATCAACGAGGTTGAGTGTGGTGAAAGTTATATTTCCGAAATGTCAATTATATAATTATTATATTTATAAGCAACGTGACTTTTCACGTGTCAAAACACAAATTAAAGATTTTCATGCAGTCGTCGGCGGCGACGATTATGATACAATGAGCGATTATGTGTGTATGGTTGGGATCCTCGTTAATTTCTAAAAAAATAATGCTGATCTCAATTGCTCACCTTTCTCACCAATACCACACATCCTTGATTGTTTAGGTTGTTGCCGTAAGATAAGTTCGTAATCACTGCACAGCGTAATTGTTGTTTTTCAGTAATAACAATAACGCCAGTCAAAATTAATATGATTAGTACGTGTTTAAGGAAATTCTCTTAATACCATTTTGCTAGCACAACCAATGTAATAACCAATTACCCTCTCCCGCGCTCATTAAGTCTTTAAATATTGATATATGAAAGTAAAGTACTTACATTTCATGTCTACCTTCACGTCGCTGCTTCACTTGAGCGAATTGATATGAAACAGCTTCATCCATGTTTCTTGTATACTTTGTTCTCGTGAATATTTAAAATATATACTGAAGCTTGCAAGAATATTCCAAAACTTTTTGCTCCAGTGAAAAAGATAAGACTATTTTGCGACAATAGTAGTAGAGTGAGTGTATATGGTAATAGAGTTCTTGGTGAGATTTAAATTAAACGAAAATATTCTTTAGGATAAGGAGAAATCTGCCAATATAATATTGTGTAGAAATAAATGTGACATAGGAATGTTAAAATTCTCTCTCGTAAAATAAAAAAATGGACACAATATTATAAGAAAAAAAACTGACAAAGGCCAAAAAAAGCGAAGCTTTACGAGACGAGCGACAATTAAACAAAACAGCAAAACACAAAACAGATGTTTTCTTTCTTTGATAACCGGGGAATAGGAGCGAACCGAAAAAAGCTGCAAAAAATAGTGATGGATGGGATGATTCGTTCGAATGGTTGGGGTTAGGAATAATATAGTGAAAATTAGGGAATATTACGAGGGTGTATCCCTTTAATAGGTTATTTTTTCGATACCCCAATATAAAAAAGTATAATCCAGGCTAACACAAGGATGTACAGATAGACAACTTTCTTTTTTTGTAGATGTTGATGCAAGAATCCTTTCTCCTTTTTATAAATAACCAAGATTATCAGTACAACCATAATAAATATTAATTCGAGTCTTGAAATAAAGTTTTTTTTAAATATATTACACAGCAAAATAACGGATATACGTAGTTCATTTATTATCTATGACAAAACAAGTTTTATTACATGTTTTTTTTTGCTTAGTTAAATCCTTCTTTTTTAATTTTGCAATCACACGCATGAACCAAAGAAAATCAGTAATATAGAATGAGAGATAAAACGCGGAGCATGTAATATGTAGTGTGTAGGAATCACGTAAACAAACAAACATACTCCCCCAATTTCCACAAAATTGGTGAACTGACGTTCAATTTTTTCGGGTTTTTATTTAGTCGGCAAGCGGTACAAAAAATTTCTATGTAGAAAAACTAAAAATATAATGTACAACCAAATGTTTTCCCGCACATTATCCTTTTTCGTATAAAATCCAGGAGTGATTTTGTTTGGTTTGTTCTGTATTCCATTATTAGAACTAATATAAATAATAAAGTTGGTAGAAAATTAAAAAGGTCTGGGGCCTGGGGTCTGGACAATTGATATTGCTATTTGCACTACTCTCGGAATATCGATATAAGATCCACAACATAGTAAACGTGAATGAGTGACTATAAAGACGTGTGATAAGAGATGTGATGACTAAATAAATATAACTAGAGATTATTTAGAATTTTTAATCTTGTTCAATTTATTGGTATTATAATCTATAAAGAATTAATATTATAAAAAAGCACTTTGAGGAAGCTTTATACACAGTGCGTGAAGCTATAGAGTGCCAATAAAAAAATACTATTAGTTTGGTTATTAAAATAAAAATAGATAATATATTTTATTATTAAGAAATATTAGAATTATTATTCAATTTTATCTTATATTGACAAGCTAGTAATGTTTTTTGATATTCTTTATATTTTTTATCAATATATATTTATGTGAATTTAATAGAATATGACAATTTTTAATTTTAAAGAAATTGTTTTATTAATCAAAAATTAAATTCTATTATTTACAAATTTGAATATAAAAGATTTATTATACAATTATATTAAATTATATACATAATTAAATTACACTTATTCATAGTAATAATCCAATTTGACTTTTTAATCAAGTAATTATAATTAAAATATATTTTTATAGTTATATTTCTTTATAATTATTAATTTAACTTTTTCAAAAGTAATAACTATAAAAAATTTGACTATTTAATTACAAAATCCCATATAATTCGATTTACAAACCAGTTTCAAGCTTTTTAAGTTAAAATTTTTCATTATAAAAAATAAGTAAAACTTTTAATTTCTATTATATGAATTTATTATAATATATTATACTAAAAATAACTGGTCATCCCAAAAATTTATTGATAAAACATAGCAAAAATTAAAATTTTTTTATAATAATCTATTTTTTAATATATAATTTTCTTGAATTTTTTAAATTTAATTAGAAAATAATTTTTGATTTAAACTTTTAATGATTAAATTTGTATTTTATTCATAAAAAAATTTTATACTCATTTTGCAATCAGGATTTATTTTTTAATTAAATTTAAAAAATTCAAGAAAATTATATGTTAAAAGAATAAATTATTACCTTATTTCATAATAAAAATGAAAATTTCAATAAAAAAATTGAATTTTTACTATGCTTTATTAATAAATTTTTGGAATAGTCGATCATTTTTGATAACCCACTGTTATATTGTAACATATTGCAATTACATCTTTAATTTAGAGTTTTGATTTAGTTATTTATTTATAGTATTTAATATTTTTATGATTATAAAATTTCAGCTTTGATTCAGTTTCTAATGTATTTTTTATTCAGAGTTACTAATTAAAATATGAATATAAAATATTTTGACTTGAATTTGCTGAATATCATTGTTAGTATCATTTAAATTACGGTTTCTTAGAGTTTTAAAGTTTTATATATTACAGTACTAATAATTAAATTCAACATAATATTACATCATCCAAAGTTCATTATCACTAGCTTCATTTACTAAGAGATATTGTATTGTTTAATTTTTTTGTCGTGTGACGCAGCAGTTGTGTTCACAGTGAACCTCAATATGACACTAATTAAGCTTCGGTATGACGGATCAAGGTCCAAAACGGTCTATATTCTATATAACAGATTCACCAGTATATAATGCGAATCGAGGTTCGCTGCGTATTCTTGTAGCTTATGTTCTCCTCCGTTATTCTATTTGAGGGGGAGAAGTAGTGGGGATTTTTTGAAGAGCTATAATTTGAAAAAAGATGTTTTTCCCTATGTTCACGTAGAATTTCAGAGATGTTCGACACCCCAGATGAAATTCCGATAGAACTACCCCTTGTGCTCCATACATTAAAGTTTTTGAGTAAATCAAGTTTCCTATTACGTACTATTTCTAATTATGCACTGACTACAAAGAACGGGAAAAATGTTCCAACATCATGCATGCGCATGTTAGTTTATTTTGTTTTTTTGTGTACCTATAATCGGGAATATTACTGGTGTTTAGTTGGACCAAAAAAAGATTTATTACAAATTCGGTATCGATATTAAGAGATTTCTTTCGCATATTGCAATATATCATTAACATCTAAAACTTTGAAGGGTAAAGTTTCATCATCATCATCACCCACGACGGTGTTTCTAGCAGTAACAGCATCATCACCACTCTTATGAATTTTCTTTTGCTTATAATAATAAGCGATTGCGACACAATGACTTTGATCAAGATAACTTTCTTCGAATTTCCATTCTGGGCATGGTTCATTGATAACATATAATTGAGTTTTAGTCTTTATTGACTGCGTGCGTGGCGTATCATATAAACAGCAAGAAATCAGGTTTGAATTTTTACATTTTCTAAATTTCAGGACTCCGAAAAAAAAAATAGCAAAATCAATCATTACCTTTATATCTTCACCATCATCAACTAACTCATCATCCGCCAATCTAAATTCGATGTCGCTTAATTTCATGTTTAATCCGACTCCGATTGCTTTCACGTAACTTTCTTTTAGACACCAGTATCTGTAGAATCTTTGCAGTTGCTCTTTTTCAGAAAGATTTGGTGGTTTAATAGTGTTATATTCGTATTCTGAAAACTTTTGTTTTAAGAAATTAATATAAGTAAGGATGAAAGAACCAAATGAAAGAGGAGAAACCAACTTGATCCCGAAAGATTTCAAAGAACTGAGAAATCGGTTCATTAGGCACTTCAATCTTCATCACATCGACGCCAATGACATTTAAATTTTGCTTTCGATTCTCGATAAAATTCTCTATCGAGACAAGGACTACCCAATCACCATGATGAGAAATATTAAAATCAATTTTTGGATCGGAAAGCAGACCAGAATTATGAGTATAGTTAACCTCGGGAGAAATCTACCAGAAAGAAACAGTTAATAATAGAAACATTGGTTGATCACTTTTCAATCTACGTACCAAAATTGGTTTGTTATTTGCACTTCTACCAAATCGAATTGCTTCCCAGTCAACTCGATAAACAGTATGAAAAAGCCATCGAAGTAATAATCTACCAATTAACGATGATTTCTGGTCCTGTTCCAACCGAAATCTGAGAATTCGCTCTCGCTCTTCGGTTTGTATGGAGTTTAAGGCAAGAGTATATTGCTAAGATAAAGAATCAAGATCAGATTCGAAAAAATCAAATATCGTATTTGATCCTTTTAGTACCTCGTGAGTAGGTCGCCAATCTGTAACGTTAACAGCCCAGCGTGCGGTTATTTTTGTGGCTTTGTTTTCTTCCGCGATGATTGACATTTTGAAGACTCGAAAATATAAATTGGACGTGGCATTGTAGTATTTATAATCACCTGAGCATAAATGATTGGTCCAACAATGTGAAACAATAATGAATATGATAACCGTTTGAACAAGACATTAATATTGTTCATGAATGATTATTGTTGTTCGGGATTTCTCCTCACTAAATACAGCAAACATTGTTCGCGCACTGAGAATATACGTATAATGAACTTATCGACTCCATACATCGTAGCTGGTATGGTTTCAAATAAATAATCTGTATGCATAATTTATGAATTCACGTTTTTCTATTATACTTAAGTACAGTACCCCCAAAAAGTATCGCCCGATTTTTTTAAAAAATGAAAATTTCGATTTATTTCATTTCTGCTTTATATACATAAAAATTTTTTTACCATTAACTAATACATTACCCACCCTCTATATGACTTCAATATCACCTCGATTCCTTACGGCATCGAGCTCACATCCTACCCCAAACTAACACATTACATTTTGACTACACTTTCTTCAGAACATGTTCACAATTTTTGAAAAGCTTTTACACTTTAGAATATTGTTTTACAATGGTTTCTAGATGTTTTCTATGAAGCCAGGTCTGGGGGAATACGTTAATTGGTTCATAATCATTAATATTCCTATTTCGTGATCTTTTTAGAATTAGGGTTAGAGTCAAAGTCGGTCAACTGGAGGCGGTGTGCGTTATATTTACAGTCAACAAATTTCGTCCAGTGTATGTTCAAAAGTCGAAGAAAGAAATAAAAGAAAATTTGCAGTCAACAATAACAAAAAGGGAAAACCGCCACATCCAAATCGGGCGTTACTTTCTGTGGCGACTGTACAATTGACTGTCCTGTCCTGTCCCGTCCCCGAGATTACTCCAGTACACGAAATTAAGGAAGTAACACAAGATACCTCTGAATTTCTGCGAGACGTCGCTTAATGGTTCGTGAATTAATTAATTGAAGATTTCATGATTATACTATTACATGATTACATGCATACGCTTTTATTAACAACAGGCTTATAAAGAAAATCTTATTAGAAGACAAATACTGAATGAAAAACAACAGGGCTAATTTTTTTGTGTTTCTGGAGTAGTAACTTTGGCATTATATTATCTTTCACTAGTTCTAAAATATACATGTTCGTTGTATCTTATTCTATGCAATGCGATGCACCAACACAAGGATATGTTTTGCATGTGTGACCACTTATCCATCAATTGATCACATCTTGAGTAGTAACTGGTAACAAGCAAAACAAGAATTTATTATAAAAAGAAAAATGAACCCCAAACTAAAATATTTCCTATCAATAATATTTATAGTATCATGCAAGCAGGCATTTATCCTATTAGAAGAAATAAATAAATGAATTAAATTAATCTACACGATAAATGGTGTTCTTCTGTTCTCCGCAATTGATACAATGATGCGAGAACAAGTCGAATCTCGTATGCAATTAATTTAGAAATCGCACCACATACTATTTACCCAGTATTTACTATTAATAACCAACCATAAATTCGGTGTTTCCGAAAAATTTTACTTCAGACTATAGGACTTCACAAAGAAAAGAATTTGATTAATTAACAAGTAATTTCATATTAATTTTGGCAAGGTGATTCTCATAAAAAAGGACATGAAGGCTTGACGAAAGGTTATCACGGTGATAACGTCATATTTAGTCATAAAGTATTATGGCATGATAATCAATTTTCCATCAAACATGGTCAATAAGGGTGGAACTCGCGTCGCGAATAATTCAAATGTTGACCTTAAATATGCCTAAGTATTAGTTTAAAGGATGATTATATGCCGGATACTCTCATCTATGAGATGCTAATATGCATCCTATGTAATAGAGGCTATATTGAAAAAAGCATTGATTCTTGGAGTTATTTTTAGGTTTGAAGTCTATCAGATATTCTCGATTCCTGTAATAATTAATATCACATACGTAAGATTAATAATTGAAAGAATTTATTCAGTTTTAAAGTAAAAATTATACAATGAAGTTCTTTTTTATTAGGATTCCGGAAAATGATATTGACTGAACTTTCAAAAGGAAACCCCCTTTTTCATTGTAAAAAGTAAACACCCTTTTTTATTGTGTTTAGCTTGACGAAGAGAAATTTAAATTATAACATCCTTCCTTTTTTTATTATGTTAAGGCGAGCCCGTAATTGATGTACATTATATGAACTTTTCCTGATATAACCCAATACGAATTTAGAGAATAGCTATGCTGCCCCCTATATGAGCTTCTCTTTAGAAAGATGATTGCGTGAAAATTATGTTGGTAGGCTGCATATTTTGATTATGCATTTTTATAACACTACTTTACGAAAAAAAAAGCGAGCGAATAAAAAACCGACTTTGTTTTATATTTACTACAAAGTTTGGTTTTGTGCCAAACTATTTTGAAGAGGATGTTGGATGTGTAAATAAAAGGTTTAGACACAGATTTGTGTATACTGATACATACATGCATGTGTCTTTCTTACACATACGTATTAACTTTGCTAAAGCGAACCTGTAACTGAAACAACACTCGGTAAGCCATCCTTTGACTGTCCCTGATACCACGGATTTAGAGAATAGATAATATTGGCGTCATTACAAGGATTTTGCAACTTTAAGACATTATCATTTCAAATCGTGAAAATTAATTAGATCTGCGAAATTTGTCGATTACGATGATAGCAACTTCGATAAAACATTTTCTTGTGTATTTGATCAAACAACGATAGAATTGATATCAATAAATTAATAACTTTGAAAACTTCTTACCATTCGTTAAGTTATAAATAACAACATATTTATCTGGAGATTACAAGAACAGACACTGTAAAATAGTCGACGCTTATTGATACAAAGAAATACTTTAAGGTGTAGACATGCAATACAGAGTTTTTTTTTTGGAAAAATAAATTGTTCGCTCGAAGGTCCCCGCCGAAAGTAAATTTGCTAGTTTATTCTACTTGAAGATGAGAAGATCTAGCCACTTCGACGGTTGAGATATTGTATGTGTCCTTTTTGAATAGAACAATAGATATTGTATTATTGCAACTTTATACAAGTGTCAAATTTTAAACTCATTGGATCGTTTGAGAGTATTGAATAAAAAGTTTCATTGAAGAAAGTGGAATTTTGTATTCAAGTACAATGATTTATGAAATTGTAGAATTTGAGAATGACACAATTTGTTATCAAAAATTTCTTTTGTGCATGCTAGAAAAAAATTGGAAAGTTTGTATTCTGACTGTAAACCAACTAAATCTCTAGTCTAACAGTAATAAGTATGTTGTTTGATGTTTTGTCTTCGCGGTTCAATCATTCACGGCGTTTTTGGGCAAAATTATCACTAGAAATAACAGTCTTAGCTACTGAATATTACAAGGTTAACAAATAATTCTGCGAGAACATACATATTTCAGACCAAGCCGATAAAAATTGGGTTTGGTACGTGCATAAAGTTAAACTTACTGAAATAATTTTAATAATATATGTTAAACTAAGTTTTTACAGGCATTAATAAATTAATACAGTCTGACCCCGTTGTTAGCAGAACATATTTCAAATGATAATAAATTACATATTAACCCTTTTATCCATCCTCGTATAGACCGGTTGATAACAACGAGGGACGACTGTATATTTTATTGATAGATATTTTATAAGCCGTTAAACTAACACAACTTAAAAAAATTTTAAAAAAAATTTAACGATGAACAAATAAATAGATATCTATGAACACGACGTCCTTATCTGCCAAATCTTCGGTCATACCTTCCATAAGGTGAGCAATCATACCCCTAGGTTAGTCTTCTAAACCTTCTGTAATCGCTGGAAAGTGGTTCGTGTGGATCGTGGATTTCTTCTGGTAATACATCTTGCTCTTGACTCATCGAAACGGGTAGATTCGAAGGCAACATAGTCACGGGAAGAGTGATAATATTTGTGAGTATATCAGCGTTGTTCCCAATATTATTTTGAAGTCCTGGTATTGAATTGGTTTTCTGGGAATTAGATTCATTGACACTTTCAATATTGGGAGAAATTTGAACATTATCTCGATACTATAAACGAAGCCAATGGCGACAAGAAAAAAGGTTAAAAGTCGTATGCATTTTTTGTAGCTAATTGGTCGTTTTATCTTTTTTAAACTTCCTCCATTTAGATATGTAGCTAATTACCTTTTTATAAAGAAAAAATTGGCGCAATAGTATAATTTTCATCATTGACAAAATTTCTTAAAGATTCAATATATGAAACTGATATTTTTTTATCGCAATATCTATTATAATAAAAAATTATACCAATAAATTTATATAGTATTTAGCAATATAAACATCATTGCAAAATTAATTTAAGTTATATATTTTATGCATATATCATTATTGCTCTTTTATTATAAGAAATTGTCGATAATTCTGGCCAAATGATCCCATGATTTGCACAAGTTTGGCCAAAATTTTCACCATAATCCGTTTTTCATCATGATCCCCCACATTAAATTCTGATTTTTGATCTGAATTCTTTAAACTCGTTTGATCATTCCAAATTTTAAAAATGTATTATTGTTGTCATAATTTTGCTTGAGATCAACTTAAAATCGAAAATTTTTTAAATTTTGGCCAGTATTATATAAGAAATCAACAAATTTATCATTTAAATTATGAATATTTATTAGTAAATTCTAATAACAATGCATAATTCTATGTTTTTATACAAAAAAAATTAATTTAATGATTTAATTTGTTAAAATTATTAAATTATCAAATTAGATAAAGTTCAAAGATAGAATTTGAAGTTCAGTTTGGTTCAAAATCAAATTGAACTTGAAATTTGATTTCAAATTTGGTTTTTGATGTAGTCAAATCTCTTTATAGTTATTTTTATTATAATTATATTATATAAAAATTTATTATAAATTAATTATAATAACATTATTTATAATCAAATTCATAATAAAATTTATTATAATATATTTATAAAAAAATTATTATTGAATTTAAAATATAATGATAAAAAAGTTAAATATATTAATTTGTAATCAGATAATATAAGATATCTAATACTATATCATAATATCAATTTTGAATTATAAATCTTATATAATAAATATCAAAACTATAATTTTACAAATTTATATCTCAAAAAAAAAAATTATAGCTTAATTATTATTTATTAAATTATTTTAATATTATTTTTTTCTTTAAGTTATAATACTTGATATGATATTATTTAAAAATTCTGTAAAAATTATATTTTAATTAATTATAATATTATAATAACTAATCAAATAAAGTCAATTCATAATATATATATTATAAACTAACCTAACTTAGATTATAAATCATTATATGACTAAAATAGTTTTTGTAACATTGATGAGTTCATAATTTACTAATTCAGTTCATAGTTTGTACTCTCAAAAATGATCAAATACTATGAACTGTTATACAATTAAAATATTTTTTTTGATACTATCTGATCATAATTTATTATTAATATTAATCACTATATACCTGATCAATGATCATAATTAATTTTTATTATCAGATCATATTATATATTAAATTAATAACTTTAATTAATATTTATCATTAGATTGCATATAATATATTATATGCTAATTTGGTGATTGTGATCAATTTTTGCTGTTAAATTATATATGAATTAATATATATCATGATCTACTTTCTAAGTGTGTGATTATATTTATAATTATTTTTGAGTTCAAGATTTATATCAATAATTATGTGCCATAATCTACTTCCTGAATAAATCTTATTACAAGATTAATAAACTAATTGTATTTTACGTATTATTACAATTCAGAATTTTTAATAATTCTATAATTCTTTTATAATCTTATAATTTCTTAAATTATATATATATAGAAAAACATAAATCAAATTGCAGAAATTACAGTAATTGTAAAAATTACAGAAATTACAAAAATTATTTATATTATAGAATTATCCAACATTATCATTATTTATTCAAATATAATATTAATTAGTGAAAAATATTTATTATAAATAAAGTGCAATTGAAGCTTTAAAAAAGGTATCAATTGATCAATATAAAATTTAACTAGTCAATAAACTGTTTCTTGTTTATTATTAATGAAATTTGTATATTAATTAATTAAATAATAACTTATTAAAATACTTGTATTTATTGTATATTATTGAATAATTATCAAAGTTGTTATAGAATATCAGTACTATATTACTATAGGACTATCCCATACTAAGTAGATATAACATTTATTAGTAATAGTGAAAGTCTATTTAACAGATAGAAGAAAATACACTGTGTGACAATTCTGAAGTACACTAATTACGTCAAAATTGAGTAACTATAAAATTACTATCATTGAATATTGGTTGAACATTCACATCATGATAACACCTACCAGAAGTCTAATCGTGACAGTATCATTTATAGAAGTTAGTAATAAAATAAGTAATGAAAAAAGTAAATTAGCTTTGATTATATTAGTAAATTTTTTGAGGTAATATTCATCAAGAATTATTATTATATCTATAAAAATTAATAAATATCTTTTTTAAAATATTGATATTAATTGATGACTCTAATAATCTTTAATAAATATTCATATCAATAATTATTGATCATTGTTAATATATCAATATATAATAATATATTAATTATTATCACAATATATTATTTATTAATAATAAATAATATATATTAATAGTTAATTCAAATGCTTATTTTAAAATCAGTTTATCATATTAATATTAGTTTAAATTATAATCTAAATAAATATACATATACTCATATATTTAATTATTTTTAAGACTTAAAACTTTTAAAATACTTGTTATTTAATATTAAAAAATATATTTATTTAATATTTTTTCTATATCTTAGTATAATATATATCATTATATTAACTGAATCTAAAAAATACATATATATTATTTAGTTAATCATAATCTTGAATATTTATAGAGTTTTATATTTTTATTTTCATTTTTTTTAATATATCATATCATTATAGTTAAGTGAATTTTTATGACTTGTGATTTTTTATGTAAAAAATTCAAATAATAATAATATCTAAATTAAGATTATTGTTTATTAATAATAGAAACTTTTATAATATTAATATTATAAATAAATAATATTATAATATTATATTATATCTTTTTATACCAAAAAATTTCTTTTTTATTAATAAAGATTGCTATATTACTGAACCATTTTGAGTCATAAAATAAATTAGTTGCTCAAATAATATTAGTTAATTCTATATAAGTACTTGAATATATTTTAAAATATACATATTTTTAATTATATAACTTATCATTTAAGCTTAAAAACTTCTCAAGTTTTATTTGAAAATTGTTGAAATCTTCTTAATATAATTAATAAATATCAATATTTTTTAAAATTATTTTTTCTATTTTAATTATTTGTAATTTCTATAGAAGATTTTAAAAATTATAATTTTTTTTAATATTGTTATGATATGAATATTTAGTTCTTATTTTATTGGTTAATTCATATCATAAATTTAATTGGATAATATTC